AAACCCCCCCCCCCCCCCCCCCCTTTGAAGGACCTGGCTACGGGCCTGCAATACTGCCACATTCTTTTGCTAATTACTCAGTTTAATATACATGGACAGTGTGCTGGTTTTGGGATGGCATGCCCGAAACTATTGCTTCTTAATTATATTACATATCTTAATTAACTTAAACCTTCTGTAATTCAGAAAGAAACACTTGAAGACGACATACCGTGCAGAGACTCCAGACCATGAGGATGACAACAGGAAAGAAAAATTGAATGATTCTGATGCGGATGTTGCCGATGAAAAGCTTGATATATCTAACTTGAGTAAGCGTGCTGGGTTTATTTCAAATTCCAAATGATTACATAACAGTTATAGTATTTTCATACAGTACTTTTGAATAAAGCTTATACTAATTTAACTCCTTTATTCATCATTTATATTATTTATTTATTCATTCGGTTTAATTGTCTTACAGGAAAAAAGGTATGAATAAAAACACCATTCAATTTCTCTGACTAAACATCAGTTATGAACATCAAATTTTGGTTTCTCAGATTAAACAATGTTTGATTTGAGTTTGATGTATATTGTCTTAGACTTCTAGTATATCTGACCTTGTGTCTTTTCATGTGAATTGGAATTTAGGCAATAAGGATATGGTATAAAGGTACAAAATACACATAAAAAGGTAAATATTAAACCTTGCTAAGCCTAAATCTGGCTTAAATACACACCTTACCATCTAATATCCTCATTAAGCAACAGCTTCTTGAGCAAAGGAGTTTGAGATTTGGTAAGTAATCATTTATGCACCACTTCAACATTATAGATACCCTACTTTTTTGACCCCGCTTTTAACATCTTGTGATTAAGCCAGGCTCTACGTTGTAGAATTTATCTTTTACCCATTCCAACATTTTTTTTTCAAACACCCATTCAGAAAAAAGAATTGTACAACGTATCAAATATGATTTTTTTCTCCAGAGCTTACCTTATCGCCATCTTTCCAATTAATGACAAACACAGGTAAATAGTGTTTATAAAGGTATATTTGAGTAAATTAATCTTGATGAACACACATTATGTGCACTTTGAAAGGCTAACATCCTTACGCCACAACATTATATTCTGCAGTGGATATTGGCGCCATGGAGCATGATTGGCGCTGTACTAGTATGATTGTTCTTGAGAGATAATAAACATTTGATGAGGTAGCAATGCAATTTATAATGTGATATTGTAATATTAATGAACATTTTATTAATTATAAATCAAAAAGCATCATAAATTAGAATAGGATAATACAAGTTTACATAAATTCAATCAAGCATGTAATTGCAACTCACAGACTAAGATTTGTATAAAAAATTAGAGAAGTCAGACAAGCTATTTTTAATGATTATTATTTATTGCTAATTATTGTTCTCATTGGCACCAGAGAGCCACTAGGCAGTGATTTACTGTAGTTTACTTATTAGAAATTGTGTCTGGCCAATTGAGTGATTTTTTCCCCTTTCTTTATCATTATGTGTTTTTTATTTTTATTTTTGGACCAAATAAATGAAATAAAATGAAAGCTTTTTATTTAATAATTTTTAACTTGTGGTATCAAAGGTGATAAACAACCATTACCTTGTCATCATAATACTAATTCATTATTTATTCTTTGATGCAATCAGTCAGCAGCAAGAATTGCATTTAGTCTTCATTTTATGAATTTCATCTGATTTTCCAGCCTGATTGGGTGAAAGCAAACACTTACTAATTGTTGTGTCTTGCATGGTGTGTTACTTAAGCTTCTGTAATTTGCACACACCTCTCTTGTTTCATTAATCGGCCATTATAGATGCTGCATACATAAACAAGTATTATAGTAATTATCATATTCCTGATTGCTTGGATATAATAAGTGAAAGCAATATTCAAATAGTGTTTTTTTTTTGCTGACAGTAAAGTCATTTTCACTATCAAACTCATGTGATGCTCATTACATTTTTATTCATTTTAATATTTAAGTTTTTTGAAAGTATTTTTAACTAACTTACTGATACATTTTTATACTTGAACTGAGCAGTAATACAATTTTATTTGCATATTAAATGTATACTGTACAAATATTAATGTCCTAATATCACACTAATGATATACGTTTTAAGATTTAAAAACAACACAACAAACATTTTTCACAAACAGACTATATCAGACCCATTATATTTAACTAAAAACTAAACAGATTTACCCATCATTAAATATAGGCCAGCAATATGTCAGACTCACTTCAGAATTGATGATCATTATTATGATCCCAGTTATAATAATCTTTATGATCCCAGTTATAATATAATAATTATGGTCCCAGATATAATGACTATGGTCCCATATATGTGATGATCATGATTGTGATCCTAGTTGTGATGATTATGATCGCAGACCTAATGATCATGATTGTGATTCTATAGCAGTTGTGATGATCATGACTATAATCCCAGACATAATGATTATGATCCTAGGTAGGATGATCATGATTGTGATCCTAGTTGTGATGATTATGACCCCAGACCTAATGATCATGATTATGACCCCAGACATAATGATCATGATTATGACCCCAGACATAATGATCATGATCTCAGACATAATGATTATGATTATGATCCTAGATATGATGATAATAATTATGATCATAATTATGATCCCGGCCATCTCAATTTAAGTTATAGTTAAGATAGTTAAAGCGACTTGGATTGAACTGGTAATTACAAAATTAGTAAAATTATAGCAAATAGACATTTTTAGATACCGTATTGTTTAAATAATTCCCTTTTTTGGGTCAATGTCTAGTATACATATCGCAAGAAGAGTTCCTCCCTATTAAATAAATAGAATAGGCTGTTCAAATTCTTCCTCTGTATATGGTTGACATTGAATATTTTTCAAAGATGAATCACCTTTATATATGAAATAATAATAATATGTTATTAAAATATTGAAGAGAAGCTAGGGAAGGTACTGGTCCTCCGAGATTCTGTGCTTATTTTTTTTAGCAAACAAATATCTACCTTATGCAGATCATAATTTGGTGGAGTGAATGCTGATGTGTGGTAAGGACTGTTGCCTTTTCTAATTTAAGGCAAATATTATGTTTCAACATTTTGATGTATATCTACTGTAATTCTTACTGTACCCTCTTATGAATCATATTAAAACATGACTTTTAAGCCCCTCTTTTTACAGCTTATATTGAATCAGTGTTACATTATGTAAAGTAGTGACTTATATTTGAAAAGTTAAAGTTGTAATCGATTTCATACTAATTTTTTGAGAAAATTAAGGAAACTGTCAATGTCTATATTAAGCGTCAAAATGTCAACGTTCCAATTTGCGTGACTATTTGATGAGGAGCACAAATCAAATTACTGTAATTGCATCCACAATTGCTGTGTACTTTGTGTGACTGCTAAATTATCATATTAAAACATGTGAATTTTATAAAATTTCAAAAGTACAGTACAGTTGTTTTGGAATCCCTGGTCGTAAAACTGTAGAAAGAAGATGCGGACATTTCTAATAGGTGAAGGTTGTAAAGAATTATGTTTCACAATATTTTATTCAAAATAAATCCTTTTGAATGTAGTACATATAATAATAGTAAACACATTATGTAAATCATGTAGTGTTTATTAAAATGTAATATACAATAGGAATAGCTAGTTATAATTATACATTGTAAAAATATTATTGCTAAAAATATTTATTATTTATTTATTTATTTCCGTCTTTTGTGTGATTACAATTTCAGTGACGCAGCAGTGGTATCACAAGTAAAAATAATAAAAGAAAAGCAAAATGAAGAAAGAAATTGAACTAAAAACAAAACTAATGAGTTAAAGAAAAACAATATATACATAAATATAAAACTAAACTAATATACAGAGCCGATTGCCATGTGTCTTGTATTTTTGGGCTAAATGTATAAATTTATACATTATTATTGCTATTTATCTTGATATAAAATATGTATACTGTAACTATATTTAAAAATTATACTGTCACTGTATTAATTACACAAAATACTGTTAAATATTTATTATACGTTTTCCGTATAGTTATTTGAAGCTGCCTGCATATATGAGATCTGCTCATGATTTCATGTAGACTATCAATTAAAAATGTGGTGTAATTAGCAAAGTTGAGATATTTGGGCCGATGTAGCTGCCATTTGTCTCATTTTGATATATGTAGCTACTTTAAGAGCCACTTATGCAGACTTGTCTTTGTGAATTTACTTCGCTTCTCTATCTCGCTTTTAGTATTGCTTACACAAATCATTACACTTTTGATGTAATACAAGCTTATATGCTGTTGTCATTTTTCGTCTAATGGATTTTCTGGCTGGTTGCCAAGCAAAGCAAGATTCTCCGCCATTGAATAGTAGAGACTAATTATTATATTAATATTAATAAACTCTTTCCAGTTGTAGTGTGTCCTTGAATGCACTATGTTTCCATCAATGTTTGGCATGGGACGTTGCAGAGACGCCCTGTACAAATTTTATTGTAATGTAAATCGACCCTATGCTCACCGTCCTGCACTCACTAGCAATATTTTTAACTGAAACGTATAGTTTTTTCTGAAGTACAGTATTTCCCAGAGTTTCAAGGAAATAAAAAGACTACACCTAGTAAAGAAAAATGATTTAGTGTTTCAATGATTTTTAGTAAAATGTATAATAATAATAATAATAATAATAATAATAATAATAGCGATTTTTCTAGTGCAAACATCTCCATCAAAATAGGTGCTCAAGGTGCAGTGTCTAAAAAAAGAACAACAGATGAGAACAAACAAGAATCACAAGAAAAATGTAAAACACAGAATCATCTTGCAGCCTCAGCCTATGCTAGTGGCTGATCGAGACTGCAAAGGCATAAAGTAATATTGAAACAGCATATAATATTTTTATGACTAATAAAAAAGATGCATAATATAATACAATTACTATGGACACAAACACAGAAATAATTTCAAAATTAAACAAATAATTATTAATAAATATTGTATTTATATTAATTATATTGATGAAAAAAAATAGCTTTGAGAAAAATCCAATTAATTTATTTTAAAAAACAAAAAGTTAAATGATTTTAATCTTTTTACATTGTTATATTTTATATTCCATAATGTGTGCCCTAAGGGCAGAAAAAAAATAAACAAAGGAATGAATGTAGAAGCTCCCGTTAATATAGTAAACACACTGTGAACTGTAAATTTGTGATCTGAAAAATATTTGTCTGCCGAAAAGGTCTAAAAAGGTGCATGTACCATTTAACATCATATATCAGCATTTACATTTTTTTAAATAAGAAAATATGTTTTTTCTTTATCTAATCTGTTATTAATATCAGGAATGAAAACAATATCTTTGAGTTTTTTATGTCTTAGTTGTTGCAATGATGGCACCAACGGCCCCAAGCCCTACAACGAATGCTTCCATCAACTGAATGTTGCCTTTATTTAAACTAAAGAGCGTGTGACCGCCGTTGACATTTCCATCATGGCAAAACAAAATAGGATATGAATTCTGAAAAACAACATAACTCATATAAGAGTTATTTTAAGGAATACAATTTTTTCCCCATTAATATATTATTTTTGTTATTGACTGTTTGTAGTGGTCATATGATGTGGTGGTATACACATTTAATGAAACTACTTGTTTACAGTAGGTTTTCTAAAAAACATATTGTAGTTGCAAGAATACTTGTCATAGTGAGTACTGAAGATATCTTTTATTTATTATTATTGGATATATTAAATTAAACCTAGAATTTCTACTAATTACATTAAACAAAACCTGTGTATTAGTTACCTAATTTTCTTCTTATTACCATTTATTAATGGTCACCTGTTATGCTGTTTATTAATAAAGTGCAAGGGTCACAGTGAGGTTGAGAGCTGCAATGGAAATTTACAGTGCAATCAACCCTGTTTTGCTATTTGATTGCTGTTAGTTATTTTGTATTCTATTATCATTATCATTAAAATGGATTAATAATAATTTTCTTTCATTTGATCTTGTTTATTTTTAATTTAAAACAATTACCTTAATGCTCATTTGCAAATATTATATTATATTGTAAATATACCAACTCTTAATTGTAAATATCAATATTCATTAAATAATTTCCCTAGGTTAAATCCTTAATTACTTAAAATTTTACTAGGTTTAATGTTTGTCCATAATTTGTCAAATATTTTCTATTGCATTGTTTATCTTAAATTATTTAGAATTTTACATTTTACTTGTCATGTAAGTCTGTATTTTTTTTCTCTCCGTTAAAATATTTATCTGATGTAATGTTTGATACTATCAAAGATTAAAAATATTTATTTTTATTTATTAGTATCTATCCATCTGTCTAAGTTAATTACACAGACTGCTATAAGTACATGTATTTTTTTTCATGTTAAAGCAAAATCTATGATAGTTTACATTATGGATTACCTTAGGTTAAGAAAATAAATTTGCTAGTTTTCATTATTGTGTTTTTTGTTTATTTTTATATAAATCTTTAAAAAAGGGAACAATAATAATAACAATAGTAATATGATAATAATAATACATATATTATTATTATCATATTATTATTAATATACAGTATAATGTTGTTCGAATAATGGACAAATATATCATGTAGCATAGCTGTCAATGAATGTTGTCCTATAAATAAATAAATAAATGAATAAATTAATTAATAAATAAATAAATTAATAAATTAATTAATAAATTCAAGTAGTATGAATTGCAGTTATTTATATATTGATCACAGAATGCCAATTAGTTTGGTCATATATCAAAATGTCTTAAAATTGTACACTCTTAATTTATACTACAAATTTCTAATGCATAAATTTTCCCCATTTCTGCTGGATAATACTGTTCACTTCAATTGATAGAGTTTGCAAATTTTCCATATCGGTAGGCGTTAGATTTTCATCATCAGAATGAGCTTGGTGATAGCTCATTAATTTTATGTGTTGTAAATTCACCACAAAGCCAAATGATCTAGCTTTCTGTTGCAACGATTGAAAATCAACCTTTTCAGCACATTATATTTAATCACACCATATTCATATATCTATCATTCAGTCTACTTTATATAATTAATGTTTTACTTTAGATTTTTATGTGTTTCTAATTTTTTAATGTTTTATTTTGACACAAGAAAATAGTTAGTTGGTTGGTGAAACTGTGATAATTGTTTTTAGCCAACTCGTAAAGTGAATTGGCCTGTCATGCTAAAATTGTTCCAGGCGTATCGGTCTGCTGGAATAACTTGGCCAAAATTGGTCCATGTTGACCAATTTTGGATGCTAGCATATGAAATAATACTGTGGGTTCAGGCAAACCAGAATACATAGTGCGTGAAGATTACGTTTTTTCCAGCCAATTTTAACGATGAAACTGTTTCAGCAGACCAGTTTTGGTTGTGACGGGCTTATGATGGGCTGAAAAATATACAACACTATTACATATATTTCCTGATAGAGGCTTCATTTGTGATGAATATTAGACTGTATTATAGTATTTTGAGAAGAAAGAGGAATTTATATACTTCTGTCTAGGGACATACTGTATGATGTAGAAATCTGAAATTGATGTGCTAAGCCTATTTCAATGATATCCTATGTAATACATTGGATCAGGGCTTCCATGGAAAGCAGTGCTAATTATTAAATGGTTGTAAAGAAAGCTCAAATAAATATATAATTTAAATGTGGTGTATAAAAAATCAAAGTTTATTTGTCTGGGCTTCTCTGATTATGAAAATTAACAGGCATAGATATTTGTGAATTTGCTGCAAGAAATTTAAGGGTATATGCAAAGATTGGTTTCTGAGTTAATAATCTAATTTGATCCTTTTAACTGAGCTATTAAAAGTTTTAATTTAAGTTTTTTTTTCCTTTTTTTGGCAGACAAGTACAATTTTAAGCTTGTTCTCTTGTCAGGTATTTTAGATTATGATTCTGATGCATCAAATGATGAGCTTGACCTCGATAATAAGGAGGAGTACTACAAAGACTTGGGCGAGAAGGATTCTGCAATGAGTGACATGGAGGAGAAACAAGTGGATGGCATCAATGTTGCTGTCAAACGTGTCGTGGAATTAGGAAGACGAAATGAGGTCAGTTCCTTAAACCTCATGTAAAGCTCTGTCCACACTTGACCAAAACTTGTTGTATGCCCATATATAGTCATGATGTGTCTATATATGGTCATGATGTGTCTATATATGGTCATGATGTGCCTATATATAGTCATGATGTGTCTATATGGTCATGATGTGATGTCAACTGACCATATTTAGGCATGTCATGTTTTTTTTTTTTCAAATAAAATTTGATAATCTGGACAAGGCTAATAATAAACATAAATAATATATTTAATATCAAAAATGTAAAATAAATTCATCTGCTTTCAACGATTATTTGATTATTGTGAAGATTATTATTGTTTTTCCAATGATATTTCTTCAACATTTGTGGCAAAAACAAGCCAAACCAGTCACTCGTCGCAAATTGTGTTTCAGAGAAAATGGCCAAAACATGCTGGAATGTCAAATTTTTAAAAATGTATTTTATTGCACTAAACTAATCTTTACATATCTATACATCATTCTATGCTGTTATTTTCCCCATTTTCAATGTTAAAACAACACTTTTTAAGGATTTGATGATAGTTTCTGCATGAGAAATGCCTGCATAAACTTTGAAGGCTGATTTCTCATATATTGTTTTTAAACAGCTGTATGTTTAAACGCTTGTAACTTCATAAGGAAATGTCCGATTTGAATGATTTTTTTTACCATTTTATAGCTATTATTTTACTCTCTATTAATAACTCAAACTCGATTTTTGCGACGAGTGACTGGTTTGGCTTGTCTTTGCCACATTTAGTGACAGTTCAAGATAAAACGAGCGACTTGAACCAGCGCCGATGTTAAGGCTGTAGTTAGCGGCACCCCTACTGTACCCCTTGGCCACTCGAATCGTCCTTTTCAGGCAAACATTCCAAAAGATATCTAGAATATATACCAAAAAGCAGATGAACCAGAGTCAGTTTGAGGCATCAAGTAATGAGAGATGAACAATACCTTATGTACAGGAGCTCTAATCATTTTAGTGTCTGATAGCCTATAAAATGCTAGATAATATTGCTCAAAACTTGAATTCATTTGAATATTATAATTGTTTTTATCGTTAAAAATATAATAATTGATTGAAACTTGATGAAGATAATTTGAATGTTTTGGCTATTAAAAGTTTATTGATCATGGTATCCATTAAATATAGTATTTCACAAGTAAGAAAATCAAGAATGTTTGTACTGTTTATACAGGGGTCAGGTGCATCCTGTAGCAGTTCTTTTGGGGCCACAGACTTCCCACCAAAACAGACAGAGTACATATCATCTGAAGAAGGTAGGATCCCAAGAGAAATCAGTATTTAACAAAGCATAGGCCTAAATCAAATCAAAGCAAACATTATATTATCCTTTCTGGAGTATATTTTTCTATAGTATCCTGTCTATACAAAATTGATGTGCTGATAAATGATGATGATGTTGGCAGTGGGGACAACAATATATGATGATAATAGTAATAATAATAAAAACATCTTGATAATGATGGTAATGATGATATAATAAAGGAGATGATGATAATATTGAAGTAAAATTGTATAAATTAAATACATTAAATGTTAAATGCCCACAAAAATGAATAAATATTACATGAAAACTTGCTAAATTTAGACGATGAGAAATGGAAGTACATAATGTACAAAGGATAAAATACAGATAGCAGTAACAACAACAGTAGACTACTTTCATTCATTGTTTCTTTAGCTCTGAGGCAAACTCTGGCCAAGCAGTTCCTAGAATCAGAAAGACGTTATGTAAACCAGTTACTAACAACACAAGAGCAGTTTAATAACCCCCTGCTTGGGGAAGGGTTTATCCCCCAGCCAGATATCAGGTAATTTACCCTTAAGGCTTAACAATTAATAATAATAATAATAGTGTAGTTTTATATAGCGCACATATCCATCTAATGTAAGATGCTCAGGGCACTTGAATTAAAGAAGTGTTGATGTTTAGACAATTAATATTGCAAATCTGGTTAAATTTCATGATAAACATATAAATCAAATTAATATATTGATTATTTTAAACTTCATATGAGGCTTGCCATCGAGCCAAAATTAGCATCTATCTGAGTAGTATAGAATAAGAATGTTAGTACAGAGAAGCTGTAATATCAAGCGCCCTGAGCATCTTTCATTAGATGGATATGTGCGCTATATAAAACTACACTATTATTATTATTATTATTATTATTATTAATACTTTACTCATAACTTTGGCAATAGTAAGTCTATTTCAGTTGATGATCCATCATTCTTAAATCTTATAATGTCAAGAATATGGATATATATACATATTAAAAAGTATATTTTCTTGTTTTTTAGTCATTAATGCTAGTTTTGGAATGGCAAGCCCCAAATATGAATATATAATCTATTTGAACATTAATAACTTCAAATATTCATTGTGAATTAAAATATTTCTTCATTTTATTATGTTAATATGGTAACTGTAAAATTTAAACACTCATTTGTAGCCTAATGTTTTTGGTAGTTATGATGATTATATTTAAGGTGATATAAATGTATCTATGAACGTTCATAAGTAATAATTATATCAAAGACGTATTTGAATACCTCCTTGATTGTATATAACAAAAGAACTACATTTATTAAGTCTTCCTTTGTCTTCCTTCTGTAGTCTGATGTTCCCAAATGAGCTGGCTTCATTACTACAGATACACAAATCATTGCTAGCTTCTCTGCATAGTCGTCTGAACACTTGGAAGTGGCAAGGCATGATGGGGGATATATTAGCAAGAATCACTGATACATACAATGTAGGCAACATAACTCCATATTGTTTTTTTTTTTATTGGCATATGACTTTGTAAATGCATTTACAAGTGTATGTATGAGTAGGCTATTATGTATACTGGCATGCGTGTGTGTGCAGTCATGATGATAGGTGTGTGGGGGGTCGGGGGAAGTGTGGATGCTTATGTTTGTATTGTAATATGTGTATTTCAATATTTGTACTTGCATTTCAAGTACTTTGACAACATTAATATAATGATAGAATTCTCAATCATTTTCAGGTTAATACACTTGAAGTGTACACAAGTTACATTGCTAATTTTCCAAGATCATTATCTAAGATAAGCTACTACTGTCAAAAGTCACACACTTACAGAAAATTTCTAAGGGTAAGCTTGTACACGTTTTAGTAGTAGGGTTTTATATTTTTCGTTGAGGTATATACCAATGCTATTTATTTCACCTTAACTCATTTCTCTTCATTTCAGAAATTATTACAAAAATTGGTATACAGAATTTAGAATGTAATAGTATTAACTTAGAATATTTGGAATTGGAAATAATAATAATCAAACCAACAAATAATAATAGAAAATCGATCAGTGAAGCCCTAATTAAAGGAACAAAAGTAATTCATAGTTTATATTTTATGTAGTAGGGTTTTATATTTTTCGTTGAGGTATATACCAATGCTATTCATTTCTCTTCATTTCAGAAAATATTACAAAAATTGGTATACAGAATTTAGAATGTAATAGTATTAACTTAGAATATTTGGAATTGGAAATAATAATAATCAAACCAACAAATGATGATAGAAAATTGATCAGTGAAGCCCTAATTAAAGGAACAAAAGTAATTCACAGTTTATATTTTATGTAGTAGGGTTTTATATTTTTCGTTGAGGTATATACCAATGCTATTCATTTCACCTTAACTCATTTCTCTTCATTTCAGAAAATATTACAAAAATTGGTATACAGAATTTAGAATGTAATAGTATTAACTTAGAATATTTGGAATTGGAAATAATAATAATCAAACCAACAAATGATGGTAGAAAATCAATCAGTGAAGCCCTAATTAAAGGAACAAAAGTAATTCACAGTTTATATTTTATTTGAGCAGAATAATTTTATATAGTTATCATTTTTAAGTTACAAATAAAAAGTCATACCATGAACCCTTGACTGATATTTTCCCTTCATTCAATATATTCTGCACTTGTAAAAAGCTTATTCTCTCTTCTGAGAAAGTTCATGTTCTTCATTATTCATTGTAATTTGTGATTTTTTTTTCATAATTAATTATATTTTAATGTTTATAGTTTATCTGTAATTCAATTGGGTATGTGCTCAGTTAGAAATGCTACACTAATTCAGTTCACTTTGGTTAGTGCTGGTCTTGCCAGTTAAGGTTTTATTTCTTAGCTTGGAATGTGATTGAATATTATAATGAAATGAAATAGATTTATATGTAATTTTACTACACAGAAACAGCTGTCTGGTTTGGGGTTTATTGAGTCCGATCTGGTCAGTAATTTGCTTAGTCCTGTTCAGCGTATACCTCAGTATGTTATCTTTCTAAAGGTAATTATTGCAGTGAATATATTTAATGTATTTTCTATTTTATATAAGCTATACTGCCTGGTAAGGTTTGGAAAACCCCTAAAAAATTCAATCAAAACATGGAGGTTAAATAAATTAACAACTTCCAAATATTGGCCTTGTTTTTTGCAATGACAAATTATCTGTATCGCTTTATGTTGTCATATGGTTTCTGGGACCTCATTGGAAATAAGTTCTTTTTGAAGATTTTTGTGGGCTATCCTGGCATCTGTCTTTTTTAATGAAGTTTTAGCTGTCTCTACCGCATTTTGTATATCTAATGTAATTGTTTTTTATGTGATGCCGAATAAATTTGAATTTAGACACGGATCAAGATGATTCAGTTCTCACAGACAGACCATGGTTCTAAGTTAATGCAGTAACTATTAACCAATCCAAATTGATTTATTTTTTAGCTTTAAATGCAGCCAGTATATCTTTAAAAACTTCTGATGGTATTTCATTTTCTAAAATAACAAGTAATAAGTTATTAAGTATGTGTGCTAATATCAAATTATAGGTGTTAGGAAGACAAAGACAATTTGTATAGTTCTCTCGTGTCTTATGATGAAATATAAAAAAAACCAAAAATAATTATTTTTAATAAAATTAGAAATAGTTTTCATTGATCTTTCACAGCAATTGTCTAAATGTACAACAGCAGATCACCCAGACTATATCTATGTACAGTCATCTATGAAGCGCTTAAACGATTTTGTAACAGACCACAAAACAGTTATAGAGACTGCTATAGAGACAACCAAGGACTTCCCTATTATTCTCTATAAGAGGTTAGTTACGTCACAGAGGTATACCTCCATTGTTGCAACAAACAAAAACAATGATTGATTGATTGATTATGTATTGTGTTTAATATAAATGTAATTCTGGGTTAATTCTACTAACATGTTTTGAAAACAAAGTAAGGACAGTTGTTGTTTTAGCTGAATCAAAACAAACCTCTCCCAGGATGAGAAAGCTCTTGTGGGGATTACTATAATCTGTATTCTATAGTTGGCAGGTGGATGTTACAACTCCACATCTCCTAGTAGACATAAGCTGCTAAATGACATTTCATATTTATCTCTTTAAGTCCTGAAGATTATGGAATATTAAGTCAGCATCTACAAATATATTAATAAAATTATTCAAAAATTTACTTCACTTTATAAATCTGGGATAAAGTGTGTGGAAAACAAATTTTGATAATCAGCAAAAAAGGAGGTTTTAAACATTTGGTGTATAATGGGCTCCTGTAATAGCTTGGGTGAACAGATTGTGCAGGAAAACCAAACATCACTGAATCGTTTGCCAGCAATTTAAGACAAGCAGGCTTGACTTTGATGAGTGTCTCATTTTAAGTTATAAATTACTTGATCCTTGGAGTGATGTTTTGTCCCACGATACCTGATGTGTAATCATAGCGAATACTACTCAATATGTTTCTTAAAATAGTCGAACCCACGACCTCAAAATAAAGAGCCTGGTGTCATAACTACTAGACCACCGAGCTTGCGTTCAGTGACTAGTGTTAAATCCAATCCCCAAGTAGCAGCGGGTCATTTTTTTATTATGTGTGCAATAGAGTGAGTTAAACATTGAACTGAATACAGTTTGAGCAATAGTTATTAAACTACATAAAAATTCTATATTATTATTTTGAGATTTTTTGACTTAGAGTCTTATTTTTATAACATTACTCAGTATGTTCCCAAATATTTCTATTATTAATTTTTTTATGTTTTTTTCAGACACACAAAGTGACCCTTAATAATTATAATGGTTGACTTAAAGCACATATTGTGGAGACCTGTATGCGCTTAATAACATAAATGAGAAAACAAAAACGGACCATAAAAGTAATACTTAATCTAACCCTCAAGAAGTGTAGGAGTTAGTCCATATGCTTTGATACTTCTATATAAAGTGCTATATACATTTTATTATATTTATAATTTCTTCATACTGTAGGCACTTTGAATACTACTATAGTACTGATTTTCAAAGTGGTACAGGGATGAGAAACATATATACGGTGTTTGAGCAATTGATGTTGATTATTATGTTAAATGATTTTGGAATGAAAATATTGACATTTCTTGGAATAATAATTGAACTATGACATTATATTTTGTTATTGTTGTATTTTTTAATGGTATTACTCATCTTCATTAGTACCTTTTTGAAATAGAGCCTGTTCATTAATGTATTCATTGTCTTATATTTGGTTTTTAGAAAAGAAAATAAATCATCAAACTATTGTGATAATACAAGCATGAATGCTAAATCACCAAGCCAGGTTAGCTCAACAAAAGACAGTGGAATCCACTCAAACGATGAACAAATACCCGAATCCAGAACGAACAGGTACAAATACATCGCATACTATGAAGCGTCAGTGTCTTTATCAAGCAGGGTTCAAGTTGAATCCTGGCTGAATTTTTGTTTTCACTTGCAGTTTTTTCATCTTTATTCCATTTATGATTTATGTTGAGAATTTGGGTTTAGCGTTTATCTGTTTATTTGTCATAAAATAGGTATAGGTAGGTAGTTCTGTAAAAGAAAAGTTGTCCATGGATTTTTGGGCCAATAGTTAAAATTACCTTATTATCATTATTTACTATTTGATTTTTAAAAAATAAGAAAGGGTGCACATGTATTAATAATTTTGTATCATTTATTTTTATTTCATGTACTGTATGTAGTAAATTACTAATTTATTATCATTTTTATTGAATATTGGCTGTAGATTGATTGAGGAACTAAGTCACACCCACCAGTTATTGAGTGAACTTGCTGCGAGCCCAGTGTTCCAACTCAAATCTACTGATACGCTGCATGGATCTCAATTTTCTGATTTCAGATCAAAAGCTATGAACAAATATCACGCAAAATCTCGTAATAAGACTAGGCTGCGCCAAAAGATGCTACAGTTTAGATCAGCACCATCTCTGAACAGCATGAATGCAGGTTTTGTTGAAGAGTTGGGGCAATCCGACGATGTTTGGATGAAAAACTCTAATGTAGATAGTTATCCTGATCCAAATCTTGCGAAATCTCAACCAGCATTGGCGAGATATGGTCTGCTTCCTAGTAACCATAACTTAGGTCAGTTAGGTTTAATTCACAGTAACCATGGTAATGTAGCTCAGCTGACAGGTGGATACAGTTTGATGCCTGACATGGTGATTCCTCATGCTGAAATAAATGACATCAGTAATTCACCATATCTGACAGAAAAATTTGACTTTTCTAAGCCAAGGTTTTTTGGTAGTAAACAACAACGGACACTTCCATCTGCACCAACTTACGGCATATATGGCGCAGACGACACCGATTTGGATAGTGTTTGCTATGTGCCATCAACGCTTACAAATGCACCATCACGAACAATGCAGTTAAGAACAAGGAATACGGTCAATGCGAGAGTTGAAGAAAGTAGTAAAATAACGGGTTGTGATGATGGCGAGAGCTCCAGCTTTCCAATACGTGAAAGTCCAGTACGAGATGCAGAGGATTTAATGTACAAAAGCTTACCAATTATTGCTCCTTGTGAAAGTCCTGTATGTCAAAAGTCATCCGACACATACGGAACACCAACTTACGATTCTATGTCAGTCGGTGGTGCTAGTGTCGCATCTGAGCATTCTAAACACTTCTCTCAACCAGATTTACGCAAGATTAGTCAGTCTCAGAATCGCAAAAAAGAAAACATGGCAGACAATGCAATGCCAACGCCGATGACAGTATGGCATGAAGCGAAAGAGGATGAACTAGCGAGTGATCATAAAGTGAAATCACATATCAAGAGGCGTGTAACAGAAGACTCAAAGGTGTCATCTAAGAAATCCTTCAAAGATTCACTGAAAAACATATTCTTCAGGAAACGGTAAGTACAGACTTTTGCAACAGTGTGCGAGTCACATTTCACAGCCTAGAATTTTCCAGCCGAGAATTAAACCATATGCCATGACTGATGTAAGGGAAAACTGACAATACTCTAAAATTACTTTACTAATTATAACACATTGCATATTTTTTACAGTGGGTTAAAACAAAAATTTTACCATTCTGGATACAAAAAACCTAATAAAAATTTACTTAATTATATATTATATATTTTCATCATTGTCTTTTAGTTGGGTTAAAAAAATTGGTCTTGTGAAATTGGCATTACAGCAGAAGACAATCCAAAGAGAGTGTTCTGCATTCTTTAACATGCACATGGGCCATGTTTTACATTTAAACAGCTTGATGGATAAACCCAGGAAGACAAGCCTCTATCATGTAGTCTACAATATTTTAAACAATCCATTAAGTATGTACTATAATGTAATTATATACTATTAATAATATAATTCTATCAATGTCATATATTTTTTTTCAATCAAGAGGTCAGACAAGCAAAATTGTCCAGATTACTGAGCACAAAAGTGAGCCGGAGTTGAAAGAGAGGTCTGATGAACTTTTCTGCACAAGAACAATGCAGCCGGTGTTAGGCTCCACTTACCAGGATGAGAATGGAGATCCCTGTAGTACAGTGTAGCATTGTGGCAGGACAGGTGCAATAGATGGTGCTATTTCTTCCTTTGTATCAAAGTCTTCAATTGATTAAGAAGGTGAACAACTTTGTGATATAATGTATATAATGAATTACGGTATTTATAATTATTACAGTATTGATGAAATAAATGTCTTTCCAAATCTATATAAGGTGCATGGATGCTCTATCTGAAACTTTATAAAAATGTAAATAGATTAAGCTAAAGTTTTATGACTTTTTAAATACTATTTGAATGCTCCACCATTATGAGGCCAATTTTTATAATATATTTTATTGCAGGATAAAGTTCTCAATTTAGATAAAAATGATAAGTATACTCTATTGCTGAAAATACACACACTGAATTACGTATGAATTGAATAAAGATAATATGGGGGGCAACTTCATTTTCCCATTAGGAATACATTTTCCCCAAAGTATTTTGTACAGGTACTGTTAATTGATATATCAAACTAAAGCAAAATTCAGCAACACTAAGGCCTGTTTTCCACTAGGCATATTTATTTGCGCGAATCGAAAGCGTTGCTTTACTTCCTGAGCTCTGATTGGCTGCGCATTTTTTATGCCTCCCAAAAAGTAGAAACAGCACGAACTACCAATTTTGCTGAAGCGAAAAAACTCTGATAGAAGTGTGCATGCGCATGAACGATGCTTTTGATTCTCACGAATAAATTCACCTAGTGGAAACTGGCTTAAGGCAATTGATGTCCAGTGCTCTGAAGCCACTGATGTTTGAGAAGTGCATTTGAACTACTGACCCTCAAGTCCACCATTTAGTTGACTCTTCCAATCCAATTAACTTTCTACACATTTCACCCAACAATTTGTCACTAACCCTAGTATTAAAAAGCAGTTATAATGCTCATTGATATAGGAATATTGTTCTTATGCCCACAATTTCAAGTCTCAATGGTAAAGTCTGCCTGTAGAAAACTATGAAAGCATTAACTTAATCCTTTTGCACAAATATAAAAGGAAATGCGAGATCACTGTAAAGATATTGCCCAATTAGGAGGGCATAACTGAATAGTATTTTTCCGTTCCTCACAAAAAACAATTACTTCATAAATACATAATATAAATTTGACATCCGAAAACCATTTAGCTGGGTGCTCTTCATTTTTATACAAATCCGCTATGTTACGGATGATCCATTTCCTGAAGGAATACCACAAATGCTCAAATAAGCGCTGCGGCGCTTATAAAATTTTTGGAGGCTTCAGTGCGGCGCTTGTATATTGACGTGGCCCTTTCAATGACTGTTCCTGGGATATTACCTATCTCGCGTTCCCATAGTTCAGTAGGCTTATCATAGGTCCTATGTCATCGTAAATAAATGTTTATAAAGAACTGCTTGTGTGTTTGTTGTGTTATTTATTCATTTTAGTACTGTATACATTGTATTTAAAACCCTGTTTCTCAAAGTGTTTCATTACACACTGGGTAATGTATACTCTTGAATATGTGGCACTTAGCGAAAAAATCATGTTGGTGCGGCACTTATTGGAGCTTTTACAGTATATTTCTTTTTCATAAATGTATGTTAGTTTCAAAATAAATTTCAAATGCTGTAATTTATCACTATATAATATGGTTTAGACTTAAAAGAATGTGCAATAAATTTGATGTGTAAACTCATTTGAAACTGTCCTTTGCATTTTATTGTTTGATGTTTTAAGACGTTTGTTCTTGTACAGTACTGTATTCTATTTTAGTGCTAGTCATTGCCTGTCATTTTAATGTTTTAAATATTTTTAAATTATTTTATTAAAAGAACCCAAATGAGACCAGCAACACACACACACCCCCACTAACCCAGACAGAAACATTAAAATCAAGAATCATAGAATAACAAATCCATTAATTTTTAATTAATAAATACATCAAATCCTGTCACTGCATGACTTTTTCTCATGACTAAAAAATAAGTGTGTGTACTGTTGAATGTGAAAAAAAAAATCAAAAAAAATCTTTCATATTATGTTGAACTAGTAAACCAACAATATTAAAAGCACCTTGAGTTAAAAATGAAGATTAACGATTATTTTCATAAGGACACATAAAATGCCAATGCAGTGCTTCCGCGTAAAACACTGTGGGCTATTTGCCTCACAATAGCCATTTTGATCAGCTACATATGTATCATTTAACACATGTAAACCTTGACATGAACTCCCCCAAGATATACACATGCACGACCATTGTCCATAATCAATCCCAGGTGTTTTTACTGTATCCAAACTATTCCGACATTTGATCTGCAAAAAATGCTTTTAGCACCAATGTCACATGGTTTGTTAAAAAGATATTGCTTGAACTTGAGCAACTAAGGAAAAAAAACTAGACCTCTGCAAGGCACAAGGTTTCTATGCGGGCATTCGTGAAATATTGCAGTACTGTATTTGCGATGACCAGGGTGACCAACAAACGAAACCATGGAGACCTCAACCAAAAAAACCACTACATAAATGGTTCTGACAATGTTACATTTTGCAAGATATATACAAAAATTTCTGTAATATTGGTAAAATATAGTGCTCAAAGGACTTAGTAGAAAAAATTAAAACAACCGTTGCTACATTACAGCCTAATCATTTTCTTCTCATCTTTTAGTATACTTGCCCAGATGTACTCTATGCTATGGTGGTCAAATTCCTCTCTAAAATGGAATGTGTTAATGTTCATTGTGAGTTTGAATTCCAACTATTCATCCAACTTATCAGGTAGTTAGTAATTGGACCTACGTTTTGACAGTTGACCAATGGCTGATAGCAGCTTCTCCGATAATGGACTATGTTTATACTAATTTTGTGCAGTATACTTGTGCTGCTATCAAAAGCCCATTCTTTTCTGTATTGATTGCATGGATAATAGAAATATGCACTACAGAAATGGTAGACTATTACCATGTCAATTATATGTACAAATCTGCTATTAATGTAATATAAATTAAGGTTTTTTTTATCTTGGCACTGACTTGCATTGTGTAACCCAATCCTCTTGCAATCCGTCAGGAACCATCAACCATTGAAAGTGAGCTGTTTTCACTTCGGCTGCTGCCAGCTTTATTTCCTCTTGTTGAAATATGCAAAAAATTTAACATCATTAGGATACAATAGTATTTATAAGGCAGAAAAATACAGACTAGGCAATAAGCCCATACAGAACAAAAATATGATTAGGCCAAAAAAGTCCAGTTTTTTTCTACAAAATATGCTTAATGTTTGGGTTCATGGCAAACCACACAACGTATGCAATTGTTTTTTAAATTCAAGTCTTATCATATATTTAAGTCATTATACTTACAGATGGAATGGATGTTGGGCTGTATTTGTGATCTTGTGATCTTAAAAAGTCTACTTCTTGACTCAGAGCATGTCTCTCCTGCATCAGACCTGCTTGTTTTTGTAAAAGTTCATATATCTAATATAAACAAAGGAAATAATAAGAATATTGAAAGAAAATTGTCACAAACCATCACTGATGTTTTGAAAACAACTTGGATAACATGGAGAAAGGAAGAAAAAAAACAAGCAAAAAATTGTTTATTTAACAGTGGTGTATCTACAAGGGAGCATGGTGTGCCCAGATTTGATTTTGAATATTTTAAAACGGGGAAAGGTAGAAAAAGGGTGGTTATCTCATTAACTGTTCCCAAATTTTCGTCAGACTTTTCTGTCTGTGTTAGTCGTAGAACTTAAAAAATGTTTTTTTTATCTGGAGACTGGCTTTAATAGCTATTAAATCTTACACTATCCTTACATGCTCTCATCAGCTGCTAATTCTAGCTAGTTTTTTGTAGGACATTGTTATTATTATACACGAGTTACCTGCTTTCCACTTCTCTGACTGTGTTCGTCCATCTGTTCTAACCTAAGTTTCATTCGTTTGTGAAGACGTCCGTGATCCACACACTGTGCCTCAATCTCTGCATGTTGTTGAGAAAGACGATCACAACGTAAAGTCAATTCTGAATTTACCTGTTTCAATCTCCTTATTTCAGACCTATATTTGAAGAAATTTTAAAATCCAATGTAAACATTTTTTTTCCCAATTGAATCATGTTGTTGCATGTATACAGCAAGGGTAATAAAATTAACCAAGTAATTAAACCACTACTTGCATCAATGGAATTGAACAGACCCCTGTAAAAGCAATTCACACATCTAGTCGAAACTTACAATACTTTTTCCTGGAACTGTGGCCCACTGGGCAGCTGTGGCTACTATTCTGCAACAAACTACGCATCCAGTTATTTCTGCCTTGCATTTAAGTATTCTTACAACATTATGACTCTTCACTATATCACTCTACATGAATACTGTAATTGTGCAATGTACCTGTATTTATCACTAACTTCTTGAAGTTTTTCTGTCAGATTCGTTCCTTCATCTCTCAATTTGTTTATCAGCAAACCTTGACTGCATATCACATTCTCTAGTTCAGTTACACTACAAGCTAAAGTTAAATAAACATATATTGTGTGCACATAAATACATGCATTCATATTTGTTTTTGTCTATTTTTAATTGAATTCACAAAAAACAATGCCCAAAAACCACTTCTAGGTAAAGGGGATACTTTTTTTATTAATAATTTGTATAAGCCATTAAATGCTTGCACCAAGGCTGAAACAAAGCCTTGACCACTTCAGACCCTGTCAACGGTGCAAGCTGGGGAATCAAAGAATGGCCAGTGGAGATTGGTCAGCGTGTAGTTTTTACTCCTGACCACAAGTTCAATAACCATGATGTAAACCACTGTGCCAAACTGGCTTCTTAGAAACCGTTCATATTCAATGAGGCATTTTATATTCAGTGGATATACTGTAAAGGTCAACTCAAACAGCGTTGTATAAGGCAGCCCAACGCAATTTATTGCATTGTTTTAGTATTATAACAAAAATTAATTCTTTGTTAAATTACATAATAAAAGCTTGAAATATTTGCTTACAATATTTATTCTGAAGTTCATGAATAATTTGCTGTAATTCTTGTTCTCTCTGCTGTGTGCGACGTGTTAATGATCGCAAATCATCATTCCGGCTGCGATCTACTCCATCCTTTGCCATTTTCACAAGCATCAGCTGTTTATGAGAGTTGCAAGATTAAAATATTAGAACCTCAAAATTTAAATCTTTCAACATCTTGAGTATATACGTAAATGCTTGTAATATTCATTGAAATAAATAAACTGTAAAAGGTTAGTTATATTTTTTTAATGTATTCATTCATTCATCAAAAACATAAATACAGATAAAAAAATATGTAATATTAATCTTATACCACTGATGGAAATTGTCAATATTTCACAATAAGAAGATATAGGCCAAGAAGAATAGACCTTGAAAGATTCACTTTTTGAGGTTTTAATATTCATTGATTAAAACCTATCAAAAACATAAAACACAGATAAAAGAATAAGTAATTAATTATGTCACTGTAGGTTGTAGATTTGCTAATGCATTCTAAGTAATATTAAGCAATTAGTATAATTGCATATCATACACTAGTGAAAATTATTATATGAAGGTTAGATTAATACATTAAAAAAAAAACCATAACCACCCTTATATATTTAATTGCATCATTCACTAACATTATGAAGTAATGGGGTAGCCATGTTTTTTGAACTATATAATCAAGTGCTGTCTGTTATTTTACTGATCATTCACTAAAAATGTTCCAATAATAAATTTGATATAAATATAAAGATTGGATTGGATTTATTTGGTGTAAACACCAAAGCCCACAAAAGGGAATGGGAATGGGATGGGAATTGAACCAGGGACCAGGGATCTCCACGGTTCAGAGCAGTGTCTACCACAAAATTAGCTGACTGAGCTAAGGTCCTCTCATTAAAGATTAGACTGTTTATGGATATAAATGTATATCTACTGTATTATATTCTAAGATGATGTCTGTACTTATATAACAATACTTCATATTCATGGTAATAACACATATTAACATATGTCTATTTGTTTCATGCCATAAATTGCTAGAGAATGATGTCATGGATGCTACAGGCTGTTCTATGTAATGTAAGTGATATGTTCAAGGTTTATCATGTCCCAAAGACATCCAGCCTGAAAACATGTACAAGCTAGCTAGAGTACTTATCAATGACACAATTGAATATGGATTTATTTCTCACATCTCGTTCCGCTGTATTGCATCTCTCGGTTAATTTTATACTTTCATCTTTACTAAGAAGAGCTTGTTTTTCAGCATCATCCATTCGTCGTTTAACATCAGCCAACTCCGACTTAAGCCGTTCCTTCTCCTAAACAAATCAAGAGTTATAAAAAAATAAAATGTATTGTAATGCTGAATCTGCTTATTTTTGACGGATCATAGCTATAAATGTATTGATATATCAAACCAATAATGACCGATATTGACTTTTGCAAGTTTTTGCGAATCTTAAGTTTACTTTTTCACACATTACAATATATGAATTTCTAATACACATTGTGAAATTGTGTTAAATCCAGTGGTAACATGTGAATTGAAAATTTATTATATTCTTTATCCACCATGTAATCTTATAATCAAATGTAAGGCTGCTAATAAACTTAGTATAGTGTATAGTAAAATGTGCAAATTCAAAGTATAAATAAATATGAAGAGCAAAATATTATTGTATAGAAGACATGCAAATACATTAATTTATTTTACTTGTATTTCAATGAAGATATGTATGTATGTTTGGAAACATGACAAACATCAATATTCACTCATGTAATAATAATAGTGTATTTATTATTATTATTATTATTTATATTATTTATATACGGCATTTTCTTTGCAAATCAAAGCGCTTCTTTTCCCTGGTCACTGGGTCCACATGATTAAATTTTGCTGCTGGTAATCAGCGTAGGAGCAGGCAACCCCACCAGGTACCCATTTATACTCCTGGATAGAGAAAAGCAATGCAGATAAAGTGCCTTGCTCAAGTACACAAGCGAAATGTACAGCTAGGAATTGAAACCCCGACCTTGGGATTGGGAGACCTGACCGTTCCCGCTGTGCCAAACCGCTTGTACCATATTTACCTGGAGAAGTTGCTGAATTTCAAGTGAAGTGGTCTGCCTGAGTTTGTCTAGCTGCCTGACAGCTTCATCCCTCTGTATTGTTGATGAAGCACTGGTTACCTTTGCATCATGAGAAACCTATATATACACAGTGATGAAATGAAATGCTGTACACTCTAAAGCCTTGTCCAAAAATATGTGTGCCTAATTATGGTCATAATGACATCACATCATGACCATATATAGGCACATCATGATTATATATATGGGCATACAACAGTTTTTTTGTAAAAGCAAATTTGATAATTTGGACAGAGCTTAAACCATTTAGCATTAACATACATGTTCAATCAAAATTAAGAAAACAATACCAGTATTTTAAAGCAGTGCTTTATACTGTAAAACCCCTATTGAAACAATTGGTCAGGAATAACTAGGTAACACACTGAGTTTACAGTTCATGATTAATATATTTCCAGTGGGGACAATTAAAACTATTTAAAATCTGACATGTGAGTATTAAAATGTTTAACCAAAAAATTTTTATTTCGAAATAAAACGTTGAAATGAAAAGAAAATAAAGTTAAGGAGAGATGAATATAAGATATAATAACAAAAACACAATCCAAAAGAAACATATTCACATAATTATAAATACTTTTACATGTATTATTTATAGAGTTTATGCACTGCCAACAATGCTTGACTAATTTGATTACTGTAGTTAAATCAAATATTACATTTAATATCAATGTTACCATTTCCTTATAAGCCCACCTGAGTAATATTCATGGAATGCTGCATTATTTGTGATTTGGCTTGTTCTAACTCTGTTGCCATGGCTACTTTATCCCTGGAAACTTTCTCTACTTGATTCTGCATTGATAAATTTTCTTGCACCCCTTGTGCAATCTAAATAAATAATAATGTAAAGACTTTAAATAATATAAATGACAAAACAGATGCTACAAATCTATTGTCTGCTTCAGTAAATGTCAGAGAAAAACCCATAACTCGCAGCGTCATTGTGCTGAATTGCGTACAGGCATTGTTAGACTCTACCTAGCAGCCGTAAATAGGCAATTACAGTAGCTATATGTTCACATCATTCCACAACTGGGGCTGGCTTGCCAAGGTCTATATGCTTATTAAACATTTATTTTTAATTGGAATAGTCTTTTTCATGTTAGCTAATTTCATCCTATTAGAATAATATGGTTCTCTGATTTGCCTTCAAGAAGAGACGTAATAATTTACAATACTGTATAACATTTATATTGTGTTCGACTAAGTATTTTAAAAATCTGATGATCATGTAATGTATTTTATTTTGTAATATTTTTTAAGGTTTTTATAACGAGCAAAGCACATACTTGTTGTTGAAGCTGTTGCAGCTGCTGTTGACACTCCTTCCTGACTAGTTCTCTCTCCACTGAGAGTTTGTGTTGATGTTCTGAGATCAGTTCTGCCATTCTCTGTTCACAATTCATTAGATCTTCAGCCAACTGTTCTCTTTGGACTAATGCCTGTAAACATTAAAATTAAACTATTGTTAAAATGACAATGAAATATTTCTATAATGTATATGTTTCATCAACAATCTTGACAGGTCCATTCCCAAACTGCAGTTCTTGTTCTGTTGATTGATGATGAGGATATTTAACCATCAAATTTTACTTTAAAATTTGGAATATTAACAATAATGCCATGAAATGTTGACTCTGATTAGGCTATGAAAATATTGTGTTGCCGAAGCACAGTAATTTGAAAATCAGTGTCAGTTGTCCAGGCCAAATTCTAGGTTTATTGCCAACCACCATTCACCCCATACATTTTGTTAAGCAAACACAGGGCTAAAGGGTACAATTTATGGTTAGGATTTTAAGTTTATCTGCTCGAAAGTGGACGTATGACACATCAAAATATACATCTTTTGGTCATACTATCATCTTTCATAACTGTTACATGACAGACATAGCCATCTTCTGAACTGATTGAAATAATGTTAATGAGCAAACGCAATTGGCAAAAAGTTACATCTAATAACGGTTACCTATTCTTATATGCTAACCTGTGTTTTCTCCAGCTGTGATTCTTCCAGCATTTCTAAGCTCTGTTTCACCTGCGTGTACGCTTCAGTTTCCTTCTGTCGCATCTCTGCCAAGCTTGATTTCATTGTCGTTACCACATTCATAAGATCATCCCGCTCCCTAAGCAAATGGCAAAAATTAAATTTAAGAAGAGTTAAGCTTTCAAAAGCAAGATAATCTGATTGCAGATTCTGAAAACCTGTCCTAATGTTACCCAGAGCAGTAATTTTTAGCAATGAATCTTTTTCTTTAAAAAAAAATGTTAGGTCAAGATGAAAGAAAAAAAAAACCCCATGCAGAAACCAAAAAGGGGATTGAATCGTATTTTCATAAATTACATGAAGGAACATTTTGGTGGATTTGACTATAAATCTAAAAAATTCACATGAGGATTTGACATGAAATAACCCTGGTACAGGTCTCCCTTGAATTAAAGACCCCTATAATGAAAGACCACCTCCAACTAAAGACCACTTTTCCGTGTTCCAAAATTAACAAATGTCTTTTATCTTTATATTGGAAATAGAGACCAAAGCTGCTGAAGACCATGGAATCCCGGTTCCAAAAGTGGTCTTCAATTGGATGAAGATCTTTATTTACTTAATGGCTATATATTTATATTACCCAACACTTTGGTATCAACTCACTTTGTTATTGAATCCAACATTTTACTTTTGCCATCCAAGTGTGTGGCGACAATAACTGCTTCATGCTGAGCGCACCGTATACACATTCCCCGACTCTCGGGCTCATCATCCTTACCCAGAAGACTTAAAGATTCAGACATACGTAGTTTACATCTTAAGTCATCACAAAGTGCTTCACATTTCTTGAGCTCATCCCTGTGTCAACATATAAACACATACAGTAAAAGGTCTATTTTACGTACCCCTTATTACGTCATCGTCGATACAAGGTGTACGTAAAACCGTGGGTTCATATAACTGGGTTAGGTACAAACAATGTTCTACTGTATTTATTTTTATTGCACCAAAAACAGTCATGCTTAATGGTACCATAGAGAAAATATTTTCTCTATGATGGTACCATGCTACTACTTGTTTGACAGGCAACCAAGCCATATATTACAGGTAATAGGTGTTTTATTATTATTATTATTATCATTTGAGGTTAAGTGGCAAGCAGCTAAGCCAAATTGATTGCAGTATTTGTTTCATTTCCTATGACTAAAACTGTGACATTAGAACATGGCAAACGACACTCACTTTGTGTAGGTTAGTTGAGATTCCAGTCGCTTTGTTTTGGTATCATGGAACTGCTTCACTTTTTCCTAGAAAGAGGCCAAAAGAAGGCATGACTAAATAATTAAAATAATTTAGCATTATATAACATACCTCAGGTTAACATAACAGCTAATGTTACATCAACAACAAAAATGGAAGAGCACAAGACTTGAATGAATACAAACAGGCATTCACACTCTCACACACTATTTTTTGCATAAATTATTTCATAAATACCTCATGCATAAATACATGTATTAATCACACATATCTATTGTAAACATACCAGTTCTTTTTCCCATTTAGTATAAAGTTCTTTGTTCATTTTTTGTTCTGGATCCACGTCCTGGATATTTCCAGGTTGCCTACTGTATTCTTTCACCTGCTTATCTGACTCCTAAAATAAAGATAAACCATCAAAAACAAAATCATAAGAGCACTTGTCCATAAATATCAACCAATTTCTGTAAAAAGTGGCCAAATGCAAAAAAAAAAAAAAAGACAGAAAAGAAAAAAAAAGATCACAAAGGTTTAGTGAGTAAGGGAACAGTTAAGTGATTCTTTCAAAGTTATCGTACTATTCAGATATATTTCTCTTATTCAGACACACAAAGTAAAGTTATTGTTGGGTTATGACACAGGTGGGCAAAGTGCGGCCCGACAGCAATTTTTTTTGCAGCCCGTGAAAATGAATTAAAAACCCTATGTGTGCGGCCCGCCAAGCAACACTGACTAGAAAACACCAACCATATGTGAAAAGTAACATAAAACTGAGAATAAAGTGGTGTAAAAGCAATGCTTGGAGGTATTTGGAAGCGTTCACTGGAAATATTAAAGTTTGGGTGTGGCTCTGGAGGGGAAACATTATTTGATATGTTGTAGAACTGATTTTTCCCAAGACAGAAAACAGTTATTTGATGGTTTGATCAAATCCTTGAGTCTCGCGACCATCTAATTAATTTGGGCGACACAATTTTGGGTGACAAACCATAGATACATGGTCAGTCTAATCATGGATACATTCAGTGAAGACGACAGTGATGCACAGTAGTAAATTATGCTAAGATATATTCCTGATGTTCACATTTCTGAGTGGAAAACCATCCTGGGTTATATTTGCTTGGGCTTTATTTGCCCGGCTAAATTACTACAGTACATGAATTACTGGACTGAGAAATATTACATAGGCTTTTGCATCTGTTGCAAACTCACCTGTGGAAATTGCTGAAGATCCAGCGCAAGCTGTACCACACTGGTCTTAAGTTCTTCGTGTAAGTCATTATTTTCTTTTAAAATTTCATTAGTCCTGTGTTTTAGTGTAATCATTTCTTCCTAAAAGAGTATGTCAAGAAAGCAAAATTACAATTATTGACTTTGGATGACCAGATTATTTTTTGAAAACCCTACTTCAAAAATTGTCTTCACAGAGGGATACAAGGTGCTGGTAATATTGGTCATTGCTTCCATAATTTAATAAATCAGCACAAAGTGTAACCTCCTCCACTCCCTGGGAAGTCCTAATACAGATTAAAACATGCAATGCCACATCATACTGCGAGGTACCAGTCTATACTCAGAGGGGGAGACAAACAGGAGAAGAGCCTTTGCAGCTAATATGTGTTTGGTAGAAATTAATTTTTAAACCGTTAGATTTTAAACCGAGTAGTGTGTTGAATGGCTATCAACAAATTTCAGTTGTATAAGACGAAAATAAGCATGACCAAAGTTACATTACCCTGGGTAGGCCTAGGCATATGTCAACAATAGACATGAAAGTGGCTGATACAGTATGTATTAATAGCTGATTTTAATAAGCATCAGTACTGTATATGGTCAATATGAAATCCATTACCTTGCAGAATTTGAGATCACCTTCCAGCTGCTGTATGTAGGAACTCTGATTAGTAATCAACGGAATAAGCTCCTCAGATTTTGGCAGTGTGCTACCAGTGTTGCTGGACGATGTCATTGATTTTACAGATGTCAAAGGCAAGTCATGCTGATAGAGAAAATGACAACAATTAAAGATCAAAGAATAATAATGTTTTTGACTTTACAATAGTGTTAACAATGACAAGAATAACCCTGATATTTATAATTTAAAATAAATTAACTCAAGCAAACTTAACAATGATCAGCAAACAATTAGCGAAAGTATTGGCAAACAATGTAACATTTAAAAAAATTTCCTTCACATTCAACAGCTAGTACACTCATCACCTATGTGATGGAATGATGCATTATTGATGCCTAGGGGTGGAGTTGTTCCTAGTTGTGAGAATAAATCCTGCTGTGACAGGAATTGATTCCAGGAACCCTGGATTAGATCTTATCACTAAACTAATCACCTCCACTCCAAACATGACATATAAATTAATTTTAATTAGTTATTTTTATTTAATTAATATTGTATTAATTTTAGACACAAGAAAATATTTTGACAAATTTGATGTGGGTGTTCTGATAAGCTAATATTTTTGAATGGGGTATAAAAAATACTTTATTTTAAGAGTGGGAAACTATTGTTAAAAAAAAATAATATATAGAATTTTAATTCACCATTTGATGTAATATTGGATTCATTGCATGTTGATTTCTAGGGAAGCTTGACAACCTCGTATCAGCATATTGCTGATTCGTCCTTTCTTCTTGTTTTGTTAGCAATGACTTTAAACGCTGCACAGGACTGCGATAATCTACCTTTTGTTGATACATGTCTGGCTGAATGCCTTGAAAGGCAACGGAGTGACCAGGTGACCTCTTCGGACTACGTTCAGGATATGGTGTCCTAAATGCTTTGGTTAAATTATCCAGTGATCCATGAGCTCGTTCTTTGTAAAAAAAAAACAAACAAAAAAAACAAACAAACAAACTTGAAATTAACTGTGAAATAACTTGGTCTCAGTGGAATACCACAAACTATTTGTATACAAATTTGGCGCCGAGTTGACATTTAGGGTATTGTTTCTACATCCTAGCCTAAAGTGGACAAGCAGAATACGGCTATCCTAACCTAGGCCTAGGCCTGGATAAGTTCACACAGCTCAGTGAAGTGGGCTATGCCTAGCGTTGTAGGTCTAGGGCCAGGCTAGTAGTAGGCCCCCCTAGTAGTAGTAGGGTAGGCTAGGCCAAGCCTAGGGCCTTAGTTAGTTAGGCTACTTTGTCTTTAAAAATAACATAGAATAGGCCTACTAGTTACTGCAGATACCTCGGAGAGTCTTTTGATGATCTGAAGAAGGAGCTTCCCTTATGGTGATATCTCCATACGACAACATTCCGCAGTTTGTAGTAAGTCAGCAGGTATAAGCCTAGAAGCTAAGCACCTAGGCTAGGCCTAGGCCAGTGAAGTAGGCCAACGCAGACACGCACCGGCGGGGAGCTGAGGAGGATGGAATGTTGTCACTTCACTCACTCACGTACAGCTTCACTTCAATTCTTCTCTCATGGTAGTTTTGCGTTGAGCCTAAATGTAACTAGTTTAAAACGCTTTATAAAACGCATATTGCGTTAACATAAACGTTTTTAGAGGATGGGCCTGTAGGCTAGTGTGCAACGCTAACGCATTCCAGTATGCTGCCCTCTGTACTCGGTTAGCATTACGAATCTCGTAATTTTATGATTTAATATGAAGTTAAAATCAACGTTAGGCCCTACGAAGAAATCTTACGCGCTATAAAGGATAACAAATGTCAAGAAAAAACGTAATCATGATTACTCAAATGATGCCACAGATGCTATCAAACTATTGCACAATTATATCCTTCATAGTTGTAAGTCTACCATTCCTGCCAAGATTCCCTCGATAGCTCAGTTGGTAGAGCGGAGGACTGTAGAGTTAACACAAGGACATCCTTAGGTCGCTGGTTCAAATCCGGCTCGAGGGATTTTTTTTTTATTTGTGTTTGTTGTTTAGCTATCTAAATAATATATTTTTTCCAATTATAAAATTTAATAATTGGCATTTTCAGACGATTGCTGTTTCTATTATTGGCTGCCTTTCATTTATTTCGCCATATACAATATAGAAAATATTAAAGCAATCGGTCATTGGGTCCAATCAGATTTTTTTTTCTCTTGTGTTTGTTGTTTAGCTGTCTAAATATATTTTATCCAATTAAAAAATTTAGTAATTGCCATTTTCAGACCATTATTTTTTCTATTTTTGGCTGCCTTTCATTTATTTTGCCGTATACAATATAGAAAATAAAGCAGTCAGAAAAGCAATTACACTGTAGGATACAAAAGAAAATGTTGGTCTCTGACTCTCCACAAGGGTTGGTGGGGTGGTATAACCAAAAAGTAAAATAAATTACTGGCAACGTGGCTGTCTATGCGATATATAGAAGTAATAAATAGAAAAATAGAAATAATAAATAAAATATTAGTGTAATATTGAATTTTTAAAAGTATAAAATTAAATATTATTACAATACCAAAAATAAAATTCAAATAAATATAAATTAGTGTCCCAATGTGGATTTTGGCTGGAATACTACTCTACTTGACCTGATCAGATTCCACTACTTAAGTGTTCATTGTTTTTCACCAAATTGGTTGCACCATTTCAAACTCAGCCTCATGGTGGTGGGACCTGAGGTTGACAGGTCAAGTTTATGTCACCTATCCAATAATAAACTAAAAAAATAGATATTTTCATTAAATTAACATCAACCCAGATATTTTTCCCTTGATCCTTAAATGCATTAACTCCTTGGTATCTGTATAAACACAGATCTCCAGTTGGCAGTGATGGTGAACCCCAAACTTTGGTTTGGGTGCTAGCTTGGTGTTTATTGTTTTTTTTTCCAGCTTTTTTCTTTGAATAGAGAAATGCGCTATATAAATCCATAACATTCCCATATATTAAGAATAATTGTTGTATAAATGTTGTATGTAGTGCTGTTTAACTTCCTTTCAAGTTTGTTATTCTTAGTCTGTTAATTTTGGATTCTCCTCCACAGACTTGTAAAAGAACAACTTTTGTAGAAACAAGTTTTCTCGTGTTAAAATAAAACACCTTTTATATCCCACTCTTCACAGAGAGGGAGGTTGGGGGGGGGGGGTTTCATCTGAAATTTAAAATTAAGAAAAAAAAAAAAAAATACAGTTCATAAACAAAAAGGCCACCACTGAAAGCAATGGCAACATTGTCATTTGCCATTCATTTGTGCTTGTTTCTGCATTACAATTATTTTCTTTGTTTTTTGTTTATGTGCAATTGCTTTTACGTTAGTATAGTAAACTGTGTAATGTATTTAAGGTTAGTGTAAACTGATGTTTTTAATGTTTATTCTAAATATTAATCATTTTTTTATATTATAAAAATAATTCAATTAAAGCTTTTTTGTTTATGTGCAATTATTTTTATGTTAGTAACTGTTACCTGTATAATTTTAGTTTTTAGGTCTGCATTTAAAAAAGGTTAGTGTAGACTTCTGTTGTTTTTAATTTTGTTATTTATTAAATTAATTAATCAATTTTTTATATTGTAAAAATAATTCAATTAAACATTTTGCAACTTTGTAGTGACAATCAGAATGAATTTACAACATCTGAAAAGTATTAATAGTTGACAAACAGGGCACTGAAAGCTGAACATTCTCATCAGGCACAGATCCAGTAGGGTGAATGTTCTCCCATTTTGCCACTAAATTTAAAAATTTTAATGCATATCAATGTTATGTATTGGGAATACGTGCTACTCACTTATTCTGATAATGTTATTCCCCTTCCCCCACACCATTTAAAAAATTCTGAATTTTCCCCTGCTCACGACTATAATCAAAAGTCTCAATCAAACCATTTCATTGATCACATTTATTCCTTATTGCTAATTCTTCAAGTTGTTCACAACAAAAACAAAACAAAATTCAGATAAAGAAATATTCATGGAAATAATTATCTTGTACATGAGTTATGTGGAAATATTTTCAGAGTTTACATTGGTCACAAATATATTTAGCTATAAAGTTCTATATCACAACAAAATTTACAGAAAAACAGAATCATTTACACCAAAATTTGTGGAGATTATCCATTCTGCATTAAATATAGGCCTATTTTGCATGGTCAAAATAGCATATTACTGTACATCATGTTAAAACTGCAAGTTCTAAATATAGGTTTTACGATTTTTCTGAAGCATACACCCATTCCTCCACCCATTGGTATGTGGTACTGTGTAACTAAAGGTAAGTGTTTTATATGTATATATAAGATGCATTCAATTCTATAGTGATCTAAAACTATCATTTACTAATAGTACTTTATAATGCAAAATAACAAGAAAACACCAGTTTGCCATAACTGGTGATCAGGGAAACTTTGCAACTTTATAAAAATGCGAACAAATACAACATTGCTTGCTGTAAGAAATCAGCTCACAGCAAGTTCTCTCAGGCCTAGGGTCTACACAAGACCGTTGACAGCATGCAAAAGAAAATGTTGTTAGGCCCGACTAACAAAAAGTATTCATTATCATTTTTATATAGCTATGAAACCTCCCTAATAATACACATTGTACACAATGAAGGATGAGCTTTAACAATTAAAAAAAAAATTTATATACGCTGCAATTAACTTTGTTTCTAAATCTACAACATTTGGAGATTGAGTTTCTCATAAAAAGATGCATGTATTGATCTTGTCTGGCTAAATTTTTACACCCTAATATATTTACGTGTTTGGCAAAATTCTAGCTGCTGTATATGTATATTACACAATCAACTGTTAATTATGTACATTAGAAGAGTTTCAAAGAAAACAGTCTAATTTTTGTTTCTTGTTGACAAACATTTGTTAATTATACTCAGCCAGTTTCTTTAAAAGTTCTCTTCCGTAAAACTTATCCCTCACCATTAGCAATAATCAATCAATTTTATCATAATTTGTAGCACATAACAGAAAAATATGGAAAATAAATGTTCCTAAACGCTGTGTGGGAAGGGATAGCAAAGTGTTATCAATAGGCAATACATACACATATTTCTACTATCCAATATACCTACCTGTACTATAATATTTTTTTAGGATATATGTTTACTAACATTATTTCCCTGGACAAATATCTTAAGTATTAGGCCAAAAAAAAAAAAAAAAAAAAATTGGTGTTGCCACATTTTGAGAAAATCAAAAATATGGGTAGGTTGGTAAAAAAACTTTTTTTTAAACAACCAAATATGTGTTTATGCCTAAAAAGTAAAAAATACACAAATAATACAACAATTCGTCTCTCACATCACAAACTAACACAATCAAATAGATTGTGTTATTTCGTGAAATCACAGTAGCGCGTCAAAACGAGCGCGTATTGCTTGTCAAGCAATTTTGTATTCTTTACCACACAAAAAGTCCTTGACAACAACAGCGCGAACTAACGCAATCTACTTTGATTGTGTTAGTTTGTGATGTGAGCGATGAATTTTGGATTCGCATCGCGTACCATCCAGAAAAATAGGCTAGCCTTGGCCCCTTAACCTCACCAAGGCTATTCCAGCCTTATTTACTCATAAAAAAATATTGTTTGTCATCAAAAAAAAAAACAAACAAACTAAAATGCTGACCCATAATTTCGTAAAATTTGGGTTGGTCGGGCGTGGCTAACACAATAATTTTTTTTCTTGGCCCTATTTTAATTCATAGTCATATTTGGTGTACTTATAAGCTCTGTCCAGATTATCAAAAATGATGAATGCCCATATATAGTCATGATGTGTCTATATATGGTCATGATGTGATGTCATGATTGTGTTATTTCGTGAAATCACAGTAGCACGTCAAAACGAGCGCGTATTGCTTGTCAAGCAATTTTGTATTCTTTACCACACAAAAAGTCCTTGAAAACAACAGCGCGAACTAACGCAATCTACTTTGATTGTGTTAGTTTGTGATGTGAGCGATGAATTTTGGATTCGCATCGTGTACCATCCAGAAAAATAGGCTAGCCTTGGCCCCTTAACCTCACCAAGGCTATTCCAGCCTTATTTACTCATAAAAAAATATTGTTTGTCATCAAAAAAAAAAACAAACAAACTAAAATGCTGACCCATAATTTCGTAAAATTTGGGTTGGTCGGGCGTGGCTAACACAATAATTTTTTTTCTTGGCCCTATTTTAATTCATAGTCATATTTGGTGTACTTATAAGCTCTGTCCAGATTATCAAAAATGATGAATGCCCATATATAGTCATGATGTGTCTATATATGGTCATGATGTGATGTCATCATCACCATATTTAGGCATGTCTGGACAGGTTTTTATGGTAAACTATCAAAACTGCCAAAGGTTTGAAGAGCTAAGTATAAGATATTATCAACAAAAAAACAATGAATAATTATCCCCTCCTTAAATTCAATGATTCTATATTTTTAGCAATCATTGAATTATTCAAACAACTACCTAATTACAGTAATCAATCAATCACTTATTTTTAATCAATGTCTCATTCGAAAATGGATACAAACATGATCATTTTGATTAGCAATTAAAAATTGCAATTAACTTTAATTTCTTAATATCAAATTTAAATTTGATTAATATATGAAATTTAAATTTTATTTTACATAAGCCTTCCAAATGGGATATAAAAATATCTGATATCAGATGTTACCAGAAAGAAAGGTATTATGAATACTTTCTTTTCCATTTATCATTAATTTTAGCCTATTTCCACATTAATATTTTATTTTGTATTTAATATTTAATCACATAATATAAAAGAATGAATTAAATTTTTACCTTATATTTTATATTTAATTCTGATATTAAAAATATATTTGTCTAAAATATCTAAAATTGTTTTGATATTTTGCCAAATAAATTTCTATTTCTTTAAACTCAGAACTGAAAGATTATGCCAGCATCAATATAAGTTACCCCGAGAAAAAAAGATTTTTAGATTTCTATTTTTTAAATTAAATACCAACAGGAGTTTGACTTTGAATGGATACTTCGCAACCCCTTATTCAAACATCCGAAGGAGTTTTATTAATATAAGTAAAAGGTGACTAATGTTTTTTTCACAATTATCTTAGGATTCAATTTAGAAAGAAATGTATTTCGAAAAGCAAGTATTGAAGATTTATGAAAACACATACATCATTTCCTCGCACATGCATTAGAACTGACATTAGAAACAAAATTTAAACAATTAGCAAATGAAAAAAGTCATTACATGTTTATCTAAATTATGTCAGGATTCCACATGGAAATTGTCATTAAATAATTTTAAATTACACTCTTAGCACTTTGTTGCTTTCAATAATTTCCATTAATAGCATTAATAATCTAAATAATAAAAAAAATAATTATACAATTATAACATACATATTCATATAATACTATGTTGAAATAATCAAATTCAATCTTTGGAATAATCATATGCTTGAAATTTGTGTAAAACTGTTCAAATGAACTGTCTGAGAATCCGCCAATACAGATCCATATGGAGAGAAATCCGCTTTCTATTTGAAAATTATGACCAAAATTGCCTCAACAAGATATATTCAATTAGTCTACATTAAAAAAACACAAATTATATAAATAATAATAACAATAATAACATTAAATTAATAATAACAATAAAGATAATCATATTAGCAGGAACTACAATCAAGTATGCTCTTATGATCTAAACAAGTACTAATTCCAATATAATATAATCTGAATTTTAATTCAATTCTCACATACCAGTTCTTGGCACCAGTACAATATTTTGCTTGGTATAACTGGCAGCTACTAATGGACAGGATATTGCATTTCGGCAAACTCTTGAAACAAATTTGTTAAAAATAATCATTTAAATAAAAAAAAAAACCATACCATTCACATTATATTGTGATTACTCTTTAATAAAGAGGTTCTACAAAAATCAACAATGTAACTTTGAAAAAAAAAATATATATATATTCATAATATCTATAAATGTACATAACTAGAAATCATAGAAATTGATCATCATTGTCTTATTTTATAAGCTATCTATTTGTGCTTACAACATTAATTAAAAACAGGAATAATTGAAATCCTGACAACTGCAACTACAGATAAGTATTTCAGAGCACACGCAGGAGACAAGGTGCCAGGTTAGTTGCTGTTAGCACACCTTACAAGTGCACACATGTCACATTGAAATGAGTTAATGCACCAGAAGTAGTGGCCATACCGTGTACCTTATCTGAGGGTAGAATCCCTATTCTACATGACATGATGTTTAGGCACTATTAGAGGTCCTGCCCTCTCACCTTTCTTTTCTATCACTTTGATGGTCTTGCAACATATCCATACCATGTATGCTTACCAAAAAGCATTCATTGTGGATAATTCCGTACCAACATGAACACATCATAAAGAAACTTGTATATATATACAAGAATATGTGTATATTAATACAGTACTCCTTTTTATAAGGCCAAATGAAACAAGACTTGGGGTTCTTTCCTTGTTTTTGCACATAGAGACCCTCATATTTTGTGTGGTATAAATGCATAACCTTTAACTTTCGCAAAGGCCGTGATTACTATGCATGGATAAATCAGTATCAATATGTAAACATTTATAAAGAAACAGTTACATAAATAAACAAAAGAATATGTGTAAATTAGTACTTCTTTTTTATAAGGCCAAATGAAAAAAAAAAGATTGTTGATGTTTACCACCCTTACATTTTTTTCTTGAAGGGGGTGGGGAACTAGTCCATTCCCTGATTTAAGCATTCACACAGCAAGCATAACCATGAAAGTCTAAAGCCTGACATAATAGCTTAGGTATACAAGGGTATGTACTGTACATAATTGTATTAATCCTCCTCCTCAGACAAGAAAAACAAATTTACTTTGCATTTGGCCTTATCTCAAAAAAGGTTTGATACAAAGTGATAAATTAAATAGATTATTTGTCTATGTTTTTTTAGTTTTACTGCTACACATCTTCACATTTTTATACATTTTATATATAAAAATGATAATTAGTGACATGAACACACTCCTATACTAAACATATTAATACAGTTCATCCTCCAATTTTCAGACCCCTTTAATTTCAAGACTCTATTTTGAAGTTCTAACTAACAATCTTTATTTTTTAGCACAAATACACTTTAACTGAACAACCTCCGACACAACCCCAAATTTTCAGGTCTTAAAGGTGGTCTTGAATTAGAGGGTACACTCATTGCACTGCTTGTTTTATATTTTTCATTTTATAGCAAACTGTTGAACACTAAAGTTACTACCATCACATGGCAAAAAATAAAGTTTCATAACTACAATACTTGCAACTTTACTACGAAATTTCAACAACATATATGGCTCATTTACATGTGTACATGTCGAGAAATGGCAACTGTGCAGAAAAAAAGCCCACATAACAACTTAAAAATCAGGCTGTTATTTGTTCAGACTTTGCAAATCTAATTTTACAAAGCTCTCTATTGCTCCTCTTGCATATATTAATTAAATTATCTGTACAACAATCATTGAAATAAATCAACGTATGTAAAAAGGTGGATAACTCATACAGCTTTATGACATTATCCAATCAAAGGTCAACATTTGCTATTGCACCTGATCTGACTTAGACTGATGGTACCAATTTAGCTGTTAATTCTCTCATTTTTGTTTACAAGCTCTTCTCATATAAAACTACAGTGCATTCATGGGCCAACCTTAATTGTAATTGGGACCATATTAATTATCCTATTTGAATTACTCTAAGATGTAAACATACATCCTTGAGTGGCCTTATCTCAAATTAAAATTCATCAACTTAAACTTTAATAACGCTGGTGACCAACAAACTATTAAAGGGTTGATTGTCTTTTTAGGTAAATGTGCCATATACATTATTTTAAAAACAGTGGACAAATTTTGAGAATGGAGGTGGTGTTTAATCCTCCTTCTGGATCTGCCAGTTGGATTGGATTTTATTATAGTTCTCAATCTCTCCCATATAACATTTATTTCACTGGGCCACACTATTTGCTGAGTTATTATTTACCAACGCAAAAGCAGTGACTTCAGATTTACATTGAGTTAGTAATAATAAAAAATAAAGTATTTGATTTATTTTTTTACAATATACATCTTCACAAAAACTGTTGAAAAATCACAAAAAATGTTGGCTTATATATTTCATACTATATATAATAGCCAAACAATTAAATTAAATAAATCTGGTTGGTTATATATAAATATCACTCACACTATAATGTAGCATTTTATATATTTTTTTTAAAAATGTGGGTTTAATCATACATATATATATAAATTGAAGTAGATACAGTGCATTTAAAAGCACTGATCTTGTACTATTGATATTTAATTGAAATTTCCATGCCTACTTCATTAGACATACCATTCTTTTGAGGCATATCCTGGTGGAAGTTGCGATTTTGGTGCTTTTGCTGGAATGGTACCATTACGTGCAGGCAATAAAGCTGACCGTACAGTTTGTAGATCAAAATTACGACTTTCGTTAATTTTATAAGAGCCTTCGCTACGATTTCTATATTTGTATAATAAAAGAATAACTAGAAGCATGATGACAACACCCCCTGCTGCTATACCTATGATCATCCCGGTTTGTTCAATAAATGATGTGCTCTGTAGAGGAGGCGCTCCAATAGTAGGTGCAACTGAGGGCAGCCTACTAGGATTTGTTCCAGGACTCATCGGCATTGAACCTTTGCCACCAACAATGGTAGGAATTATGATGTTATCATCTGGTGTTTTACTGATGAATGGGTTTTTGGAGGAACCAGAGCCTTCATTATCCAAGCAATCCTCATCATCACCATCAGCACATATAAAAACTGGTGTTGTTACTATTCGATCAGATACAGTTGCAGAAGAATCCTCGATTGGTTTACCAGAGGGTCTTGGGTTGCCTGATGCTGGTGAAAACAAGCCATCCATTCCTGACAATAAATAAAATAACTGTTTTTTAATGTCCACACAAAAAAATCATGAAATTAATGTGAGCTACTTTGGGATTCAAATCATCTTCTATTCATCCTGGACAAGACAACCCAAAATGGTGATTATTATCATTGTGGTTCATGCAAGACACTTTGGCAGGACACCAAGCATGAGGTGACAGTGATTCCTGCAAGACACCAAAGAAGTAGGTGACAGTGATTCCTGAAAGACTTTGCCCAGGACCTTGCCAGGACAATAAAACAAATGTGGCAGTAATTCCTGCATGACATCTCTTGCCCAGGATCTTGCAGGACCAAGCATGAGGTTTCAGTAATTCCTGCATGACACCTTGCACAAGATCTTACAGAATACCAAGCAAGAGGTGGCAGTAATTCCTGCAAGACAACTTGCCTAAGACTTTGCAGGAAGCAAAGTAGGAGGTGATGTCGATTCCTAAATTCACCTTTCCAGGATATTGCATGACATAAAGCAGGAAATGACAGAAACAACAGACCCTGAGGCCTCAAGCCAACATACAATGCCAAGTTATTTAGCCGTCTACACACGCAATTACGATAATGATCAAACAACATACCGTACTTTATCATTCTCTCTCTGCCTCTTCAAATATTGCAATACTACTGTATGTTAAAAGCCCTCTATACTCTATCCTAAATATATGGCTCTGGTTTTGAAGCTAAAAACGACCTCGTGTATAGGGCCACAAGGAAGTTTGAAAAGCCTGATATAAAAATGCATGATTATATAATATGTAGTTCCATAGAAAATGTAATATGTGCTTACCTGAACCACTTGAAGTCTCGCATTCCTCATCATCATTGCATTCAATGGTGGCAGTGAAAATATCTGAAGATTCTGCAGGTGAACTCTGAACAGGGTTCTGTCAATAAGAAAAACAAATATAAAAATCTGCCCTATTAAAACAGCAACACAGGCATCGAGCAAAATGCAGGTAAAGGGAGGGGAATGCTGCCTTAATACCACCATGACAAGTATTCAAAAATATTTTCCACAAAACATGGTAAGATGCAGCCTTTGAATATGTAAAAATGGTCCATAGATCACTCTTTTATGCAGACAATTTGAATAAAAAACTGGCATTTTTCTTAGAACAACTGATGTTAACAGAAAAATTGCCTCAATTCATTTAATTTCATTTCCAATAACATTTATTTTCTCCAACATAGTAAAGTGAACAATAGATTCATAATAATTAAAAAAGAAAAACATTTGAAGAGGGCAAAACCCGAAAAGCAATAAAGATTGTAGAAGGCTTGCCCGAAATAAAGAAAAACATGAAACGAAAAACAGAAAAATCAACAGCAGATCACAAAGATACAGAAAAAAAAGGTTAAAGAACAAGTAAAGATAATAAGACGTATAGAAACTGATCGTCATCTATGAAATACTAATAGATTGATTTTATTGACAAAAAAAGTTATTGTTTCAGGTGAAACAACAACAACAACAACAACAACAACAACAACAGTTTGATGGAAAAGCTATTCTTTGACACAGAATGTTTTAAGTTATTGGGTAAATTATTGTAAAATATTGGACTGCTAAATCTGATATTGTACTAAAAAGAAGTTATTTTATGCAGTGGAATATTTTAACTGTAAATGCCCTTTAAACATGAACACCATCAGCATTTGATATTGTCTTCGATAACATTCCTGAAATGGTGGCGTACAAAGACTTGACGATTTGACCTGCCTTTTCCAAGAGTACCGTGGGAACCTACTGATGGGACTAACAAATTCTTATAATATATTGTATTAATTTACTGTTACTAGGCAATTTGCAGTATTGGATAAATGTTAAATGATCAAATTTCCAGGACATTTAAGGACAATCATAAATTTTCCAGGACATTCCAATACAGAAAAAATTCTCATTTGTTTTTCCAGGACATTCAAGGAATTTAAGGACACACACAAACCCTGAAAATAGCATAGAGGGCACTATTTTGGTTTTCACATAGAGGGCGCTATATAACAATTTTATTTTAAGAGGTATACATTGTAATATAATCTGTGATACAGTGGATGAGTCTTGATACAGTACTTGCAACTCTACAAAAATGAAACTCAGAAGGAGTTTAAATATGAGAAAGAACTATACTCACATTTGTTGTTCTCACATCTGGGCCAGGGCCAGGCAAGACTGGTGTTGGCAGAGTGAGAGAATTTTCCAGGAAACTTGTTGCATTTGGAATAAGTGTCACATTTCCTTGTATTCCAGTTCTAGGGTGACCTAATGATAAAATAAATTAATCTTACATGATATTATTGTAATGTTGAATTAAAATAAAAAATAAATCTGAAAAAAAAAATAAAAATGAAGTTTTTATAACGAATAAACTTAAAAAGAAAGAATTAACAAATTTACAATAAATTCAACCTATATCTTAAATGAAAAAAAATGTTTATTTAAGTTCAATAAAATTATGAAATAGGACCAGCAATGGAAGCCTTATATTTATGATTACTTGTTACTACAATATTTCACTGTTTGTTGATTTTTTTCAGTGGAAAGATACATATGTTATTAACCTTTACCTACTGTCCTCAAAGGGTGTGTTTCTACTGAAAATCGGGATAGAAACAGTTCTCTTATCATTGGTTGATTATCATCGGGTTAGCAAGATTTGGACTCCACACAGTTGCTTGTAGTTGATATTGTGCTGATACTCTACATACATGATGTAAAAACTACCCAGAATGCAATTTAAAATGACAAAAATTTTCCATGATAATCATGATACATGGTACAGTAGGGCTGTATGAATGACAGATTCATTCCTACCTCCCTATCCACCTCTTCCCCTTCCTAGAATTCGGTTCATACCTGATGCAGCTAACTGTAATGGCTTAATCTTGTTTACTTTAGCTCCAGATAGAACACCAACAAAAACACTTTCAACTTGTCGCCGCTTCCTCCGCCCTTCTTTTGGAATTCTTCCTCCAATATATATCTTAGCTTGATCATCAAACACAGATGCTTCCGAAGCTGAGAAAGAATTCATATGTTTTGCATTTTAAAAAATTGTAATGCAGTAAGACTACAATACCTTTTTTGTCATTGGCATTGTCATAATTTTTGTCATTATATGAAATATGCAAAACACATAAAACAGACATTTTGGACTAAGCATCAGACCAGACAAATGCTCTTTTAAAACGTGACAAAATTACATACATCATAATTTAATAACTTCAGTGAATTACTACTCATACATAATCTAAATCTGATTTGCATTTGACCAGGGGTAGATTTAGAGGGGGGCAGCCCCAGCCCCAACTTTTGGAAAGTTAAAAAAAAAATAAAAAAATAAAAAAAAATAAAAAATTATCGGCCAAAACGCCTCAGAGGTTTTTTTCAGGTGTCTAGAAAACAACAATTTCACAGGGGCATGCCTCCGGGCCCACTAGGGTAGTGTTATCTCAATCTGCCCCACTTTCGTTCCCCCCTTTTGGATCCGCCCCTGTTGACTCACCTCTGTCAGTTCGAGTATCTCTGACAATCTGATCCATTATGAGGGTTGCATTACTCCCTTTACGATAAAAACGAACAACATGGAATTCTCCATCGTTAAATTTCTTGCTAGAAGTGGCTAATCGGGACTCTGCTTCTGCTACATTGCTTAACTGATAAACAGCAACTATAATACCATTATCCTGCCAAAAAAACAAAATTATGCAATTTATTTAACATTATCAAAGATATAACAACGGTGAGTCAAAATGGTTAAGCAGTTTAAGGCAGGGGCACTGCAACAGAGCCATAATATCGGTGCTGATTCGAGTGGCACGCTTGCCTGGTGGAGGAACAAGTCTTCTCAGATAAGGACTATAAACCGTAGTCCCAGTGTACATAATTGGCTCATGTGCACCTAAAAAACCCAGTACTGTACATCTTCCAAGATGAGTAGGGAGTTAGCCCGGTGTACTGGTCCATAGAGCCCCTGTTACCCTGCAGTTACGGATCCTGACTGGTCCTTTGCACGATGATGTACCTTCCTAACACAATCATAAAAAATAAACAACAGTATCATCGACTGCTTCTTACTTGAGCCACAAAGAGAAAAATCTGCCTGTATGGGGACGAACCAAAACATTAAATTTATTGATTACAAAAAAAAATGTCTGACTGATTCATTGATGTATATTGTTAATATTTTAACCTTGAATTTTATTCAAATTTTAAATGTACTGTAAATAACCAACATATTTAATTGTCATTTTTATCTTTGATATAATTTTTAAATGTATATTCATCTTTTAATTGGTATGAGTGTAATGAAATAAAAATAAATAATAACTGCAGTACAACAATAACATCATCGCCCGTATGCCATGTTTGACGATGACACAAGACGAGCAGGAATATGTTTTCTTTGATAATTTGTAGCATTTTTTTTTTTTCGGAGTTGCAATTTCTGACAGATGCAATGATGTCCCAGGAGTGCCTCTTTACAGCTTTGTAAAGTAACTCCTGCCCTCCCACAATTCACTTGTTTTCCTTCAAAGCAACAATAACTATCAACAGCATTCAACACAAGTGGATGCAGATGATCTAACATGTTTTTTTTTTGTTTTTTTTTCAAAACAAAGACTAAACATTACAATCACAAAATCAGATGCAGCATTGTAAGGAGAAAAACCAGGTTTATATTAGTATACTGTAAAATGGATCTTCAATATATATACTAAAATTTTTGGAACTTACATTACAGTTTCAGTCGCTGACAGCTACCATTATGAAATGACTGGAATGTACTGGTTAAGCTACATCTCCAGCCTCAAACCTTTTAGTCAATTGAAGAACCATTTACAGTATACTAATTCAACTAAAGACCAGATGAAATTATTCCAGGTTTATATTGGTCAAAATGGAAAGAGGCAAAAAAGAGATGGGCAGGACATGTATAGAAAGTGTATCAAGGAATGATGGACTGGCACCAAGGATGGAAAAAATAAGAGGCAAACTAAGAATAAGGTGGAGAGATGACATAACATCTTACCTAGGCATGACATCGGCAAAGGAAGTGTTAGACAGTAAGAAATGGAAGATCATAAGAAGGGCAACATTCAAAAGTAGGTGAACAAATCCTGAAAACAAACTACACTGCAGTAATATCAAATTCCATACCATATTTATTTCAATGAAATCAGCTTGAGTTGCGCTTTCTATCCTCATTAATACAGCATTTTCGGAGTAGGTTGCAAACCCAAATGTGATATCATTTTCTTCAGTAGTCTCCCAATCAGCAGATGTATATTCAAGACTAATAAGACCTCCATAGCTTCCAAACATGTATGTTGTACCAGCTTAAAAAAACAAAAACAAAATGGTGAATTACTGAAATATTTAAAACTTGTTAAAAACAAATTATAGAGGGCTTATTTCATTCATATATTTGAACTTGATTTGAATCAAATCTGTAGTGCAAAATTCCAAAATTGGTATTGAGAAAAGTCTGTTAAAAACATCACCGTGAATTAATCACAAATATGAAGTAAGAATATGTTTGCTTTATATTTCGGTTAGTCATATAGCCAAAAAATTATTGTACAAACCTTTGTTTATCTGATAAAAGCCAGTCCTTTTTGAAGCCTATATTAGTAGGCTAGATCCATAAATTGTTTATGCATCCACACTACAACAGTGTCTTGCAGTACAGTACATGATTCAATTTAAATCAGAACAAGTATACAATAATTTACCTTCTTCGCAGCGATCTCCTTGATAACTAGTGGTAGAACAGTCACAGTAAACATTTTCCCATGATTCCTTGCATTCTCCGCCATTAAGACACATGTAATCAGTACATTCCACTACTCGAGCTTAAGAGAAAAAAAAAATCATTTCATATATCTTTTTGATATCTAGTTCAAATTGCAACATATTGAAAGAAACAATTTTCCTCCCAGAAATTTTAATCTAGCATTGATTTTTTTACCACAGGCAAGACTCTTTATGTACCTTTTCACAAATCTGCCTCCCACCAAATTTTAAATAACCATTTACCATGCCCACCACCATAAAAGATGGAAATTTAAGGGGAAAAAATAATTTAAAAAAATTTATATTCATTACGCCCAACGCTGAAATCTCTGCAAAATAAGATATCAATATATCCTCCTTCATTATTTAAATTTAAAGCATTATCAATCAATTATTTATTTTTATTTAAATGTTTTTTCTGAACTTGAATGTTTTCCTGTTGTAAACTTGAGCTTTTTATAAATGTTATTTACATATATTTTGATGTACTGAACATCAACCAGAAAAATGATTTATTGTTAGTGATGTCACGGATTGGTGGGCTGGGGTTGGCCCGCGGGTTGTATACCAGGGCCATATATTTCATTTCATTAACAAAATTAAAATTACTGTAATTTGTATTGTATTTTCAGATGCTGAGCTTTTTGATGACTATTGTTGTAATTTAGATTATTTGTACAGTAATTGCCTTTTATATTTTTATTTTTTTACTTAAACCCACGTAATAGTTATACGATTGATTCTTTAATGTTTTTTATGTCTGCTTTTTATATATGTGTATATATATTTTTAAAATTGTAAATTCAACATTCAAAGTTGCAATAAAGATGAAATTGAAATTGTAATAGCAGACTATTAATCAAAGTGTCCTTTTTTTTTACTCCTGAGTAGAAACAAATGTAGATAAAGTATATTGCCAAGGACACATGAAATGAACTGTATGAGACAAATAAAAATAATTACCATTACAACCCTTTACAACAGTATCGGGAATATTAGATCCATAGAGCATCATATCTCGGAAATGACCGTCGACCTCCAGAGAAGCAAAACAACCATGATATCCATCCCTTGATTTGATTACTTCTGGTAAAGAATTATACTTCGAAATGGGAACGCCACCAAAGTATATGTCTCCAATAAGGTCCAAACGACGCGCTGAAGGTGAGGTCAAAGTTTTGCTGTTAATAGAGTTGTCAACTTTGAACCTTGTCAAGATGTTACTTGATATGTCCACCTCGTGCCATTGGTTGTCGTTCAATGGTCCAGGAGTATTTGCTTTCAAAGTAACCGGTTGATCTCCAAAATCATACAGATAATGCAAGTAGCCATTAACTAATTCCACAGCAATGAAGTCCTTTCCTTCACCTTGGTTAAAAAGCATTAGACCATTGGGTTCCATTGTACGAAAATGGAAAAAGATGCCAAGGCTTGGATAGGTAGAGGGAGATGGTTGTGAGATGTAGGAACCTTTAGTTTTAAAAGTGATAGGTTTTTGTATCGAGCGTTTATCAATGGAGGAACCAAATGAAGCTGTATTCTTTATGACAATACTGTCAACTGGATCTTCACTTGCCATTTCAATGAAGTCTCTGCTGTTAAATACAAACTGCTCAATAAGACCGACAAATGGAACCCTTTTACTGAGTTGTGACGGATCTACAGAATACTGTCTTGTATTCATTCCCAACTCGATGAACCGAAAATCAAGTATTTTTGTTGATGCTTTTTCCAAATCTGAAGAATAAACAGTAATTCAGAATTATCCAGTGTGATTGGTACACAGCTAAAAATTATCAGATTTCAAAAAGTCATATAACAATAAAAGTAAAACTAAAGAAACCTCCATAATGAAAATACATATAAAATTAAACTACTGAAATTTTGAAGAAGAAACATTTAAAATAAATTTGCTGAAATAGAATAAAGGAAGCAATTTGCACTAAAACATTTCAAGACACTCAAAAGAAAAATAAATTCAATCCAAAACTGAAAAATATCAAATGAAGAAAATTTTAAAGTTTAGGTGCATCACATGTGAAACAATTACAGTATTCAAGTCTTATTTTCTGTTTACATACATTTATGTTGGTAATAACAGACATGAGTAGGGAATAAAATTGAAATTAAAATCTTAAGTTTATTTACTAATGAAGCTCATCAAAAGTACACACAGAATGTATGTAAACAAAAGGCCAATGATTGTATCCCAGTAGGGTTGCCCAAGGTATCGATGCTAAACAAATGATATGTTATGAGATAGTAAAAGCAGAGGAAGAGTGAGATTACTACTACCTCAGCCCCATCAAAACTTAATGTCTTTGGTGCCTCTAGATGGCTGGAAATGGCAGTCTTAAAGTTAATTTGAATCCAATATTCTTTTTTGCCCATTGTAATGATTTCCAAAAAATTTAGGGTGGCTTGGGCCGCCTGGGCTCCACATTGAATCTGCCTTTGAAAAATAAAATTTTGTAATTAATTGTGAGACTAGTTAAGATGGAAAGACTAGTTCATTGAGTTTATTCGATGCTCAACATGCACAAACAATATAAAAAAGATTTCAGATCAAGAAAAGTAAAAAATAATGAGCATCAGGAACTCCAATTAGATATTCACTTTAGCAATGCACCTAAATTCCAGAGAAACAAGTTAAAACATACAGATATAAAAAAGAAAAATTAAGGATTTCACATATGAACCACAGTTAAAACAATACACGTAACTCCATAACACCACAGCTTACTCTTGAATACCAGCCTATTTTTTCATTCTATCTCAAAATCAGGAAAAAACCCCTTAAATATACAATCCGCAGAAGGCCTGTACACTCATTCATTACTGTTTTTTTTTAGCACTGGACAATGTGAATAAATTTATAAAAATGTAGGAAAATGATTAACCATTATAAAACTACATTTTAATTTAAAAAGAGTGGTTAATTAAAATTATCAGACAATATATTTGTCACAGAGCCATGCATCAGCATAATATAAGGCCTATTTACACAGAGTGCGCAATAGCGGCAAGCGATAGAGAAAAAAGTAAATCTGAGATGCAGTACAATCCATTTACATAGCATGTGACAACTATCATCACACATGGTTTATTATGCTATCTGCAAACCCAGCACCATTTTGACTGAAGTCACTTAAACTTGTCAAAATGTTTGAGTCGTGGGCCAGTTTCTGGAAGCAGAAAATAATTCTATGACACTCAGTGCATAGTCAACTCATTCGTCTATAAAATATGTTTTTTGTTTTTCTTTATCATTTGAGAAGAAAATTTTCTGCCAAGCTAGTTTGGTGCTACATAATGTTTGTGGAAGTAGAAAATAATTCTATGCTGAGCAACACTCAGTGCATATTCACCTCACGTTGGTACATATTACCACGAGTAAATAAGTTTTACTGCTTTCGCCACTACTGAGCTCTGAGTAAATAGGGCTTACAATGTCAAAGAGTATTGTGATGGAATTTTAACCCGATTAATAGTATCTATTAGGAATGATTATTGGTATTCTAAAATTCAAATTTAAATCACAGATTGTCTGGCATACAAGATAAACCTCAATGTTAACACATTTTTTTCTGCAAGTACATAAGTGTGTCTAGAATTACTTACAAAAACTTTTTTCAGGCTTTTCCAAGTTTTATATTTTACACATTGGGATAATTTTTCGTTGAAGTTGAACCAATTAAATTTAGATAAAACTTACCGACATTTCATGAACTATCAGTTCATATTCTAAAGTTTGGTTGTAAACAAATGTAACTAAGAAACCACACTTACTGTATATATATTATGAAACCCAGCCGATAAATTTATGTCAATACTACACCATGCTTTCTCTTGTCTTTCCCTTATAGGATCCATGATCCATATTTATACTTTAACAATCACACTACAATATATATTGCAGTCAGTACTTGTGATTTAATAAAGCCATCTGAATTTAATGATGAGTGCATGAGAAAAAATGGTGCTAAACTATGCAGTCAAATTGTGTAACATAATTGTCACAGCAAACCTATTAAAGTTGACAAAGACTTCATCAATTAAATATGATGCTGTGTTGCACTATATGTATTTTTGTAAAACCATGTTAAATGATAAAAAAACACTAAAGTCAACTAAAGTATTTATATACAAATATAGATATATAACATATATATGAGTATATGCTTTCAACTCTATTTTTATTATTTAATCAATAAAATAATTGTCGACTTTCAATACATCCAAGAAAAAACCTCAGACTTGTGCCACTCAAATGCATTTAATACTAAAGGTGGAAATTAATGACAGAAATATCATTTTGTCAATAAAGTATGTTTTGTTTTTCTGTATCATTTGAGGAGAACATTTTCTGCCCTAGTTTGGTGCTACATAATGGATCAATCTCAATGCCTGCAGAAAGTTAACCTTTGAATATGGCCTTTTGGACAAGAACTTATTGGTTGAAACAGGATTTTATTGTGGTAATTATTTATATAAAGCAGTCATCTACATTCTATAGGCTCATCTAGTCTATTATTTAATTATCTAAGAGGCCACTTACAATTATCACATAAAATACACTATAGGTTATAAGCCTATTAAACTGCTATGATCTAATGCCTGCCAAACTGTATATTTTGCCTAATTTATGAGTTCCTTCTGAAAGACAATTTTGTTTTGTAAATAAAAACAATTAGGAAAGTTTCCCATGCACTAATGGAAAACTAGACCACACTAAGGAGTAAACCGTGCATCAACAAACTGCCTGAATGTAGAGATTCCTTTTTTTAGAGATTAATCTTTCAATGTATGGCCTATTTGGTATCGAGGATAAGTCACAGTCGCATTGAGACAATGGGAGTCAAAGCATACCCTACAACAACCATGTGGTGGCGTCAGAATAGCCAATTTAACACTGGAATGGAAGTGGTGCTTCCAAGAGTATGTGCGCATGCTCTTCTCACAAATCAGGACCTCCACTGCAGATCGAGTATTTTATCTATAGGCCTGATCTCAATGATTAAAGTTTAAATAAATTTGCATACATATGACCGGTATGGAAGAAATTTTGAATTATTATTTGAATTGAAATTTGTTAAAAATACAAGAATAGGAATTCTTTTGAAGAGAAGATACTACAACCATGCCGGTATAAAAATAACATACATTTGTATTTTGAATATAGGACACAATCTGATTCTGTATAGTAGTAGAAGGCTTACGAACTTTTCCTACTAGCAAGCCCTAGCATCAGTGGCATAAGGGTCTTGAAATGGAAGGGAGCTAATGGGGGTGAGAAGGGGGGGGGGAGAATCGGTGATTTAGGTGAGGTGGACAACTCGCAAAATAAGGTGATTTGAGTTGACTTTTAACTACTTGAGCTTGATTTGTTAGCGGGGGGGTGGCGACTAAGGGATGGGGGTGGCGACTAAGGGATGGGAGTGGGGCGTGCGCCATTCGCAAATCCTAGATATGCCAATACCTAGCATAACCTGTAATTTACCCTAAGGTTTGCAACTGCATTTGCAAGGGTATTAATATTAAACCTACTAGATTAAACCTATCTCCTTGCTTCAATATATTAATAACAAAAAATGAATCATAGACCATAGTACCATACCCCTATGGTGGTACAGTTGAAACCTACTTGCCAGTTAAGATACGCCCACCTTAATTAAATTCTACTACTCTATGTTAGGATACGTACTTCTCAACTTTGTGCCATAAAGATAGGACATAATATTCAGCTAATGTAAGTTTGTATTTCATCTGAAACTGAAGACATTTTATTATCAGCAGTCAAGACTTCTATAAACAAAGTTGCCTGTCCCCATAAATCACGTTACCTGATAAACTAAAGTCTTGATTTATACATAGAGAATTCTTTCTCCGATATACAAGTACAGATTTTACAGTATACTCTTGGTGATCTGTGGTTTGAAAGGACTTAGTTTTTGACAGACCTGGACTTAAAAATGTCTCAAAGCGAGAAGATGAATCAGACACATCTACAGAAAATCAGTTATTAATGTGACTAACAACCTTCGTAGATGTCAAAATCACATCAGTTATAGAGAGCAGCTTGCATTTTAAAAAATATAACTTGTGTAGCGTTGTCAATATTGTTGTTTTCAATACTAAAAGTATCTTTTTTTTCAAAAGAAAAACCTCCGTATTTAAAAAAAGGAAACCACAGAGGAAGAAAGTCTAATAAAATCATAAACAAAAATTTTTAAGAAGTTATTTGTTTTTTTCTTGATTTGTCATAAAAAAAAAAATTTTCTTCAAAGAAATGCTATTATCAACAAATGTTCTCGTTTGTCCAGAAGAAGCGGAGTTCACTAACATTAATTGGCTCTACAGTCATTTATGAGGATTAAGTGGAAACATTTTTATCTTATACATATTTTAGTCCTACTCCGACTATTTCCTTTCCATCATTTCACATCAATGCTGTCGTATACATCTTAACTATCCATTGTCTGGCTCAAACAACATACATTTTTAAAATCCTTACGTCGTCAGCTGTCAATTTATACCCATGCTGAAAAGGAAAACGTTTATGAAATATACAACACATATCACAGTTAGCACACAGGGCTGTAGCTACTGGGGGAATCACTCCAATGCATATTGATCAATTTGGTTGGCCTTAGCAAAGCGCTTTTTTCAATGACCTCGTAAACTTCCCCTTCTCTTTAGTTTGAGCTACTGCCCTGGCACTACAGCCAACATAACAATACAATAGAACACTAGTATTACTTTATTAAATGTTGTGAGAACTGTTATCAGTTGACAAGTGTTGGCACTTGGGTTAATATTGTTAGTGTGCAGTAGTGATCATTATTTTTAGTTCTATAAAAGTGCTCAGCTACGTACAGTATAGGATGAAAGGACAACGAGTGTGTTACGTGAAAATGGAGAACGAGTGGTCATTTAATTAATATCATAGTGATGAATTCCACAGAGAAAAATAGGCATCAACTTGGTCAAGATTAAGTATTAACATCATTCTAATCTGAAATTTAACTGTATGAAAAATAAAAATGTTTCGTTTCAATTTTATTATCAGACTACTTGTACAGCAGTATGTAATTAAATGAAACGTAACAGATTTGTGATTCAAAATGGCTGACATTTTTACATACTATATCTTCCGGCTACAAAAGTATGTTACTGAAAACAATTAGACAAATGCATTTTATGAGACAGAATGTTTAATTCCCAACATAATCGATAAATATGATGCAATGATGAAAGAAAGTATTGGGCAATAAAATTATAAATGTAAAGACTTTGTTGATATAAAAAAAACAAAAAACAAAACAATTTTATATCGAGTAAAAATGTAAGCAACATTGCTGCCACCTACATGGTCTGTACCCAGGTGACAATTCCTTACTCTTTATGTTGAATAAATAAATGGATGATTTTTGATACAGTTAAATATGAGTATAATAAATATATATTAATTTAAAAACTAATTTTATTTTACATTTTTGTGTATGTTAAACTTTAATATATAATACTGTATAAAAATTGAAAAAAAAAATTTAATTATAGATTTTAATAATGATGTTGATGAAAATTATGCTGATGATAATGATAATAATAATAAAGATAATATAAATAACAATAATATATTATGATAGAACCACCTTTATAATGTAAAATCCATCATCCATATAAATGTTAATTAACCTGAAGTTAAAACACATTTCTGTTCACACAGACATATACCGTAAGCCAGTTTTGGGAATACTGCAACAAATTAGCAACAGAGTGTTTTCAAGTATTCTGAAGCATGTACAAGTATATTAAAATGGTGTGTGCTCATTCAAGTTTTTTCTTCTTGCGTGTCATGTTTAAGGCAACCAAGACTATAGTGTCGGCAAGCAGAAATAATAATAATGGTATATTGATTAATAGCTTTGATAGATCATTAGTCATGGTTTGCGTTGTGCATCAAGCAAAGATTCAGTTACCGAAATCCACTTGATTTATAATAAAACACATGTGCGGAATTTGTGAGTTGTGTGTGTTTACAAAATCTAATCGGTGTGGCGACGCCACTGAATCCACTGGTGTAACTTAAAGCATTAATTAATAATACACAAGAACATGATATCCAGAAATGTTTGTACTGTTTAAATTAACAATGCGAATTAATACCTGTGTCATCAAAAAACTCAAATAGTGCAGAAGAATGAGCTTTTTGTATAGCTTGCATTAAAATTGATGGAACGTCCACCCTCACAAGAATGGAGGAAAATTATTTGATAGAGTGGAGAAAATAATAAAACAACAGTCATTATCCAACCAAAAAAATATAGCGCCACCGCTCAGATAGAGGAAAATTGCTTTCATGGGCACTGCGCTCGGATAGAGAAAAATTGCTTTCATGTACACCCTCATGGACGTTCCACCATATCGTAAACTGCTATATCTGAGAAACACAGAATATTTAATCTAACATTTAAATTGATTATTTTTGTGTATATTCAGAAAGGTATTATTAGCTTTCAAGTGACATCAAAAGATTTCCCAATTAATAATACTGGGGCAGATTGCTATAAAACGGTCTTACCTGGTAGTCTTAACTCCTCGCGTATATCCGGCTTTCTGAAGTCACTTGGTTAAGACCATTGCTATGAAACAGTCTTCGCTTAGACCGCTTTGAGTAATGAAACACAAACAAGCACTCTCTGGTTACATAAAATTGTGGGCGCTGTTACACATACGTCAGGCTTACTCGACACATGCATCAAAATTAATGTAAATAAATGTAGACCGGTTTTTACAGACGCTTAGAAGCTTGAGGAATATTCATCGTTCGATTCTTGGTCTTTGATGATCTAGGTCTAGTAAAGGTAACTTCACGATGAAAACGATTTAAGACCATTTTAAACCTCCTCCGAGTAAGCTTTAAAATTGAAGATGGCTAATTGTTTAGACCGCGGTATAGCAATGGTCATAGACAAGTAGTGACGTCACGATTATATCCGGCTAAGCATTAAGACCATCTAAAGACCGCTTATAGCAATCAGTCCTTGTTCTTTTATTTTTATAAACACTTAATTCAAGGAGTTTTGTAATAAAGCATTTATAAATCAGCATAATAAATTGATAATAAACAACTTTAAAAATTCTCTCATGTTGTGTCACACTGAAAGTTAATATCTGTAATTTAAAGTTGAATTTCTTGGGGGGGGGGGTCCCCCAGATTTTATTACAGACAGCATACTCTTAATTCCAGTGCATTGCACCATTCTGTTAAAGTTTGCATATGTCTTATTTGTAATCAGTAACATAACCTCCTTATTGTAACAGCAAAATTCAGTACATTCAAAATGAAATGACAAACAATTCTTGTTAGGAAGCCTTGTGATTAGATTTAAGCATTGTGAACAAAATTGAAAAGAAATTATGATACATATAAATATTAAAAACAAAGAAAATTGATAAATAAAATAATGTTCATGCAAATCCCCCACAAAAAGTTGATGATGCAAATAAAGCCATCATTAAAAAAAATCCATTCTACCCTAAAGAAAAGATAAAATCACCATAATATAAAAGAAACATTTTAAAAAGCATTACATGTAATTACACAATATATATGAAGTGATAACATTATCGCTGAAATCATGGAAATACAACTGCCGACACGGCACATCCACCAAGGTTGATTAACTCAGTTGCTAAGCAACAGTTGCTATGCAACATACAAATGATTAGAAATGCTGTGTGGAAGTTAATATCTACGAGGTAGGAATTTACAAAAGAGTAGTTAAGCTTGGTTTCCATATAATTGCTATACTGTCGCACTTTCTTTTATTGCAATCGTCGTACTGTGTAGCTGCCCCCGACACAATCGGGAACATTTCCCGACTCAACTGACCACTCAGCGTAGCCAAAGAAGTCGGTGATAGCGTGTAGCAATTTTCATGGAAACCAGGCTTTCCATAACAAAAACTGATATTGGACGAGGGAGGCAGAGGAAAACAATTTTTTGTTCGTCCACAGTGGATGATCCGTGGTTGTTACTCACCTCCGCTTGTAAGATTCATTGCTAAAAAATGGTGGAAAATTATCAGAACAAGAATTAGGGAGAGTTATTAATTTTTTTTCCAATGAATCAGGGTGGAATCTCTTTTCACTAAAGAGGTGATAGAAGAAAATGAAAGCGAAAATATCAATATATATATATATATATATACATATTAATTCATTTGCATAAAAGTACCTTTGTATAAACGAAAACAAAACAAAGGTTTTCAAGAAAAGCATGATGCAAAAATACCTACAGAAAGTAATTAGCCTAAGGCATACACAAATAAATTGTTAATTCTGGTTTTGAATAAAGATAAAGATACCGAGATATATATATATATATGATAGTAGCACAGTATATGCTCATTTGCATATATATTTACCTGCAAACTTATAATATTTTTATATAAACAATATGAATTATTTTTAATGCCATTTAACAATATAAATACATATCTTCTAGCTTTGCAAAAATACTCTAATCTAAAATTAATGCATTCTATCTAACTTATTTTAACATCACTTAATTATACCCAATACAACAGCAACAAGGCCATTGAAAAAAAGACAAAGAAAGTAGAAAGAGAAGTCTAATGATATCTATGAGTTAGTTATGGTTATTGGTTGAAAACGTTTTACATCCAGTGGTAACACTAAATGGGCTTTGCTACAAGAAAAGCATAAAATTTGTTACAGCACCCTCATACAAGTAATACCCTGTCTTGACTATTAAATTTTACTTGACAAAAACATGTGACATGCCTGAATATGGTCATAATGACATCACATCATGACCATATATAGGCACATCATGACCATGTATAGGCACATTATGACCATATATGGGCATACAACAGTTTTTTGTCAAAGAAAATTTGATAGTGCAGACAGAGCTTAAGAATGGACATTTTGCTCTATTCTACACATTGAAGCGCAACAAAGAAAATGAGATGAGTTGGCTAATGATGGACGGAAGTAGGGGGAAAGTAGCCCCTGGGGCAAAGTATCCCCTGGAGCAATTAGCCCCATTATTGACAAGTAGCCTGGTATGAATGCTTGATTGCTAACCATGAGAATAATAATCATCACAAAACAATTTATTGATTCAATTTTGTACCAAGATGGGACTTGAATGGAAACAAACCATTTTTAGCTAGAAGGCATAATAAATAATTATAGTTAAAACACTAAAACAAAGAGTGTACATGATTATATAAACCAGATAATTTTCTTTTTTCATGGGAAAAAAAAAATATTTTGGGTGTGTCACATCCCAAAATAAATCTGCAAAGTTAGTTTGATATCCTCCTGAGCATTCTGCCATTCATACCAGTGTCTTGTTCCTTCACTTTGAAAATTTACATTATATGCATTCACACACTATAACATAGCGTATGGAAAGCAACCAGTACCAAAACCATAACATATGTGTAGTATTCCTAAAATCAGAGAAGAATGAGAGGAATACTTTTGAGTGTATTGCAACATCAATTCGCGTGTTTTCATTGCCATATCTTGCAGGTATATATTGTTCAGTTGTATGTAAACCAAATAATGATTGATGACACACAAATGTAATGTTTCTACTGGGGTGTAAAAAGGTGGGTAACACTTAAGTTGGGCTCTTACTACTGCTGATGGTAATAGGCTGACACAATTCCATAGTGAATGCAATGCGACGAGGCGCATGCAATGCGTCGAGGTGCATGGAACAGATTGTTTCTGATGACAACTCAGTCTGCAATTGACAATCAGCATGTGTCCGCATTTAGTGGAAGCAATCCTTTGTGGTGAGATAGTCATTCTAACGTGTGATATACTAAAAATTTAGCATGAGAGTTTGTATTCTAATATGACTCCGTATTATCCACCACAATCAATAGTGGATCATAATATTGTATCGGAAAATACCAAACCGTATTATGTTCGTCCCATTCATTTTCTATTGGTCGAAAGATACTGTCTGACGCTGAAATGCTCTGTCTGGCAACCGCTACACAACAGAAACATGCTACATTATATTGTACAGTTATGGAATAGTGTTAAAAGGTACTGTTGCCATCCATACACTTTCAATCATTGTGTGTATAAAAATATTTAAACATACAATATTATATGTACATAAAGGAGAGTGCTTCAATAGAAGTCTCCCAAGGAAAGAAGATCACAATAAAAAAGAAGGTAGTTGGATGTTTATTTAATTGAACAAGAGAAATATGAACATTTAAACTCTGTAATGCCATTCTGGGAAACTGTTCACCTGCAAAGGGGTTAATAATACCTAAATTTACCAATATAATACTCAATTCTGCTTTAAAAATGGATAATAGGTTTGTTGATTTTTGACTGATAAAATTAACTTGTAGGCCTGTATTAGATTATGATTCTAATTAACACATCAAGTGAGGAAGAGTATGGTAAATTATAAATTTAACAAATTATTCCCCAAATTTAAAATTAATATTCTACTATTTTAAAATACAACTAAAAGATATTCTCAATCGTATCTTGAGTTTCGACACAATATTCCATAATACAAGAATTATATTAAAATTGCTATAATTTACAATTTTCAAGTACACTTTTTCTTTTCTAATGAGTTTCAAATTATACATCTTAAGATAAAATTAATTGAAATAAAATTTTATTAAATTTCCAATTCAAAAAATAAAAATTTAAAAAAATCATATTTTTAGATTTTCATATGTGGTAAAATAGCAGAAGCAAGGCACCCTCAACTGTAACCACAAACCACTAATACCATTTTTTGTTGTCTGGCATACATTTTACCACCATAGCAACTAAAGCATACAGATGATCCTGTTATAACAAACCCTCAAAATATACGTAAAAGAAAAGTTTGCAGATTAAGTACAGATAAAATAATTAGAGATTAGAGGGAATATGGCAGCAAATTTCCAATAGACATTTTTGCATGAGAACTCTAGAGCATATCAAAATGTTCACAAAACTTTTCTCATCACTGACTAACAGTATTCTGGAATCAATTAACAAAATAGTCCAAGAAATAACACTTTTACTTTTCCACTAAGCCAATGAGTATGATTGGAAATTCCAATATCTGATGTGTAATTTATTTATAGTTTCTCATAATAATAATAATAATAATAGCATGAACAGTCACATATATCTATCCCATAATAAGATTAAGTTTTAGTTCAGATGCCAAAATTTGGAGAGAAGGTGTGTGAACATTGGTTACATCGGCATGGTATCCGTTAACACATTATAACATACCTGAGTCAGTACTGGTTAGGTCTGTGTAGAAATGTGAAAAGCGTAGTGTGTTAAGACAGAGGCAAGTGCAGCGTGGTCACACATTATGTCACAACTACCCAGACCAAGTTATAAAAATGAAGCAACTTCTAAAGACCAACAGATTAGTTAGGGGGCAGCAGACAAAACGACTAGTCATGGACTAAAACAATTCATGATGAGGTAATGAGTAATGTAGTCTTAAAAGTACATTTTCTATAGAGTGCTACATCGTTACATTACCGTACCCTCTGAGACCATTTTTTTACTGAGCAATTACCATGTTGAAGCTCTCAACATTAGCTTTTTTAACTGACGTATCAAAAACTAAGATTTTTTTCTTAAAAACCTGTCAACTGTCAATAGATAATTTTAAAGTACATAAATAAAGTTAAGTAAGAAAGTTTCATCAGTTAACTTGAAAAAGGAACATAAACTTTAACATGGCTGAGGAATCGCACTCAGTTGCATCTACCACTTGGGTAGCATTGCTCAGTGATGAAGAGGTATCCGGCATTGTTGCGATGTTGGTGAAGTGGTTCTCTATGTATAATATTTTTTCTTCTCAAATTTATTATGGTCGGTATTATATTGATGTTTACCAAGTCTAACATCTTATCTTTTTTGGATTATAGTTTAGCATTTACAGCTTGATTTTACCATGTTCAATGTTTTCTTTGAATAAATTTTCTGTTTAGATTTAGTTAAACAGGAGAAACCAGTCACCGATAATCACCAAACTATCACTATATGCAGACAATGTGAGCAGCTATATAGGAGGAGGGAACTATGTAGGGGGTGTCGCAGAAGCTTGTAGAATGCACTATTGCTTAGTGTATAGCAGTCCTTGCTTAGTAGCAAGGAAGAGACAAAAAGCTTTAACAAAATAAATAACTACATTTCATATAAGTGGAGATGTTCAAAACAAGTATAGGGTTCAGTAGGTGTATGTAGTTGACAGACAGGGCAACCAGTAAAAGGGCAAGAAGAATATCATTTCACAGATGCAGCACTAACTTTAATTCCAAATGTAATAAAACATGTTGAAATTTAATGCTACAAAATATTAAGATAAACATTTTTTACAAGATTATGTAGTCTGGGAATTAATATTATTATGAACCAAAGACATGCCATCTTTTAAATATAATGGGTGATTCTGTGAAATGATACTATGTTCTGTCACTACAACAATTCACTCTCTTCAATAGAACACTATAAAAGCAGGTGTAAAAGTTAGTAGAATTGTGCAAAAAATTGACTTTGAAAATGTGTAAATAAGGCAAGGGAAGAGTAGTTAAAAAGTTGATAGCTAAATTACTGTATCAGTTTTTTTTTATAACGATATATTATCTATAACACCACCTATATTTGCAATCATAACTTACTTTGAATCCTCTCCTCCCCACCATCTAGAATAACAATTAATTCTCGCTGCTTTCGTCGCAGTTTAATAGTGTGCCAATTCCCATCTGCTAAGTCCTCTCCAATTGGTGAAGTATCATCTCCAGAGCCTAAGTTGATGGAGAACACCACCTTACTGCCGACAAGCTCCAGTTTCAGCACATCAACAGCATTATACGTATAGATGGTCAGAAGGGCGCATGATGGTCGGTAAGTTTTGAAACGTATTGTGATGTCTTCGGCCTTTGTCTGCAGGTCATTGCCAAAATCAACCAGTAATGATTGGTTGCCATTGAATGACAACACTGTTGCATCTGTTAGGTAGACAATATCAACAATGAGTAATATGAAAAATAAGTGTAGTTTAAATGCTACTGTATATATATCTAGAAACAAGTATTTTTTTAGATATTGATGCACACTGTATATCTGAATACAGAATTAACTTTCTATATTTGTTTTATATCTTAAACATACCTATGCTGCACATGTACTCATAATACCAGATATAATACTGTCACAAACACTTGAAAATAAATTACTCTGATACAAATGCTCAATTTAGTTACTCTTCATTTCAGACATCAAGCATGACAGTAATTTGAGGCATAGAAATGTACGTCTACATGACGAAAGTTACCTTCTGTAATGTACATTGATTTGATGTTCGTCAAAGTGTCATGTTTGATTAAGTTCAATGCGTTATTTTGGTTATGAAGGCAAAACTTCCTACTTTACCATGTCAGGTAATTTCAATCGTAAATGTACAATACTACTTTCTTACATCACTGTTTTACATTGGGTTAAGCAGTGATGTAAGAAAGTATAATAATGTACTACTATCTTGCATCACTGTTTTAATACACTGGGTTAAGCAGACGTACAGAATACCAAAGCAAGGCATACACGAACAGATTTTGTCTGTCAGACGTAACAACGATTTATTAGTCATTGTCTGAAGGAATGCAGGCCTATTGGCGGGGGTGGGGGGATTTGGGAAAACCGCCCTTTTCTAGCAAACCTCCCATCTTTTCTGGTACACCCCCCACCTTGAATTTCCCGAACGAGTCCTCAAACCCAACCAATGCGCTGCAGACCCACCCAGACTCACACGGAATGTTTTGCTGCAGACCTTTTTCAAACAACTGCTTTTATAGCATTATTTAGACCCATAAACATAAAAATCCTCTAGCCGCTGAGGTTTCACTGACCCTTACATGGGCTTTGCCTCTGGACCCCACATCCAGAGAACCCGATACCCCCTGCCCTTGGAAGAACCTGTCTACGGCCCTGGAATGCATTTGTTTAAGACATACTGTATCTGATCAAACAGACTGTCCATTATGCTCTTTCCACACTATCTTTGACAAAAAAACTGTTGTATGCACATATATAGTCATGATGTGCCTATATATAGTCATAATGTGCCCATATATAGTCATGATGTGCCTATATATAGTCATAATGTGCCCATATATAGTCATGATGTGCCTATATACAGTCATAATGTGCCCATATATAGTCATGATGTGCCTATATATCATGGCATGATGTCATCATGACTATATTTATTTAGTCACATCAAATGTTTTTGTCAAATAAAATTTGATAGTCTGGATAAGGCTTTACATTGTGTCTAATCAGACATTATCTGCTACGTCTGACAGTCTCATAGTGTATACCTTGCTTAAGTGAAATGATTAGTTGCTATGGCGCTTTTCGATGATGAACCGACAGTGTGGCGCCAAGAAATATAGGATTAATCAGACAGGTGAGATGATAAAGTTTGTGTAAGGCTGTTTTTATATATTATCTAATTAATGAAAACAAAATGGGCATTATATTCACATACTCATACAGTATTTATCCTGTCTCTTAT